CAAGGCGGGCCTAACAGCCCAGCCAGCAGCTAGGGTGGCTGGGCCGTCATCAGCGCCCCCGCCCCAGAAGGCCGGAAAGGGCAAAGGGAGGGGGAAGGCGGCCCCAACCCAAGCCCCAGTCTCGGCCCCGGCTGACACCGCACAGCGCTCGTTGGAGCGGGGCTGGACGGTGGCCGGGGACAACAAAAAGAGGCGGAAGGCCGCCAAAAAAGCGGCCAAGAAGGCGAGGAGGGACGCCGCCGCCGCCGCGAAGGGAGCGCCGAGGAAGCTCCGCGCCCCTCGCTCCTCGGCCGTCGTTATCACTTTGACGGCGGAGGCAGCGGAGAGGGGCGTGGGGTACGCCGAGGTCTTGACGAAAGTCAAGGCCAACGTGGACCTCAAAGCCCTCGAGATTCCGGGCGTCCGGTGTAAAAACACACGGACGGGAGCCCGGCTCCTCGAGGTAGCCGGCGCTACCAGTGGCCCCAAAGCCGATGCCCTAGCGGCTAAGCTGAGGGAGTCACTGGATGCAGCTGACGTCCGAGTGTCCAGGCCCACTAAATGCGCCGAAGTCCGCATCACGGGCCTGGACGACTCTGTCACGGCGGACGAGCTCAGACTCGCCGTGGCGGAGACGGGAAGCTGCCCTCTGGACAGCGTGAAGGCCGGAGCAATACGCTTCGGCCCCGGTGGACAGGGGGCAGCGGTTGTCAGCTGCCCCATCGCGGCGGCCCAGAAGGTCGCCGATGGACGGAGCCTCCTGGTCGGAGGTTTCCTGAGGGCGCAGGCACGGCTCCTGCAGGCCCGACCGGCAAGGTGCTTCAGGTGCCTGTCGGTGGGTCACGTAGGGGTGCACTGCACGGCGGAGGCCACCGTAGGTGACCGATGCTTCCGCTGTGGCCAGCCCGGTCACAAGGCGGGTGGCTGCAACGCTCCGCTGCGTTGCTTTAGGTGCGCAGCGGGGGGCAAGCCTGCCGACCACCGGGTTGGTGGTAAGGCCTGTGCCCTATCGCGACCGAAGCCGGGAGGCCGACCTTCCGCCTCCGAGCCGCTGATCCAGACGGAGAGTGCCGCTGGACAGCCGCAAAGTTCGCTGCGGGATGCGGGGATGGAAGTCCAGTGATGGATCCACATCTCCGCATCCTCCAGGTGAACGTAGGCCACGGTGCCGATGCTCAGGATCTTCTGCTCCAGAGCATGGCACAGTGGTCCATCAACATCGCCGCTATCGCCGAGCCATATGTCCATCGGTTTCTCGGGCCTGCCTGGGAGACCGACTTGGACGGCACGGCGGCCCTGGTGCACGGTACCGCAGCCGGCACTCCACCTCTTGCAGTAGTTGCAAGGGGACGGGGCTGTGTAGCGGCGATAGTTGGAGATATAGCGGTCGTGGCCGCTTATTTCACGCCGAACCGAAACCTAACTGAGTACGAGCAATGGCTCGCTCAGCTGGCCGTCGTCGTCGATGCCTGTCGCCCCCACCCGGTTCTTGTGCTGGGGGACTTCAACGCCTGGTCGCAGGCTTGGGGTTCCCTGCGCACGAACCCGAGGGGCAGGGCATTGGAGAACTGGGCTGAAAGATTCGGCCTAGTTCTCCTAAACCGGGGGGCCGTGGCCACGTTCGTGACGGCGAGGGGTAGTTCGATCGTGGACATCTCGTTCGCGTGCCCCTCGCTAGCGCGTCGTGTCCAAGGCTGGCGCGTCGTTGTCGGGGAGGAGACAGGTTCGGATCACCGATATATTCGGTTTGACGTCTCCGCCCCTGCAGATGGCGCGCCGGTCAGACCGGCACCACCTGAACCACGTTGGGCGCTCAAGCGCTTAGATCGCGACCTCCTCCTGGAAGCCGCCATCGTACAGGCCTGGGCTCCTGCGCCGGACAGGCCTGTCGACGTCGATGCTGAGGCACAGTGGTTCCGGGAGGCCATGACCCGCGTCTGCGATGCGGCGATGCCTAGGGCTCAGCCCAATACTGCAAGGCGCCAGGTCTACTGGTGGTCGCCGGAGATCGCACGGCTGCGTCAAGCCTGCGTGACCGCGCGCCGCCAGTGGTCCAGGTTCCGCAGGAGGCGTCGCCGCCCCGAAGATGCGGCAGCGAGAGAGGCGGAGCTGTTAGCGGGTTACAGGGTTGCCAAGAGGACCCTTCAGGCAGCGATAAAGCGGGCCAAGAGCGAGGCCCGCCGCGAGATGCTGGAGACACTGGAGCGGGATCCGTGGGGACGCCCCTACCGTATGGTTAGGGGCAAGATGCGCCCATGGGCCCCGCCGCTCACACGGTGTCTTCAGCCAGAGCTGCTTGAGAGGGTCGTTGGCTCCCTGTTCCCAACGCGAGTGGTGGAGCATACTCCGCCACAGATGGCTCCGCCTCCGGCGCTTGAGGCGCTTAACGTGGATGACGACGACGTGCCTGAGGTCACTGGGGTGGAACTAAGGGTGGCGGTGTTACGGCTTAAAGCCAAAAACACCGCCCCGGGACCCGATGGCATTCCTGGCCGAGCGTGGGTCCTGGCCTTAGTCGACGAGGCTCTCGAGCCCCGACTGCGAGGGTTCTTCAGCGCATGCCTCGAGCGGGGCCAGTTTCCGAAATTGTGGAGGACGGGGAAACTGGTCCTCATCCGAAAGGAGGGGCGCCCGGCGGACTCACCGTCCGCCTACCGGCCCATAGTGTTGCTTGACGAGGTGTGCAAGCTCTTTGAAAGAGTGATTGCAAGGCGCCTCGTCAAGCATCTCGTGATGGTTGGGCCGGATCTGGCGGACAACCAGTACGGTTTCCGTCAGGGGCGCTCCACCGTGGATGCGATCATGCGCGTGAAGGCTCTGGCGGAGGAAGCAGTCTCCCGGGGTGAAGTGGTGTTGGCGGTGTCCTTGGACATCGCCAACGCGTTCAACACTATGCCCTGGAGCTGCATCAGGGAGGCGCTCGTGTATCACGAAGTGCCTCTCTACCTCCGCCGCATAGTCGGGGCATATTTGTCGGAGAGAGCCGTCGTCTACCCCAGTAGGACCGGTCTCGGTAGGCGTGAAATGTCGTGCGGTGTTCCGCAGGGGTCGGTGTTAGGGCCACTCTTGTGGAACATCGGCTACGACTGGGTGCTTCGTGGTACCTTCTTGGATGGTGTCGCCGTCGTGTGCTACGCGGACGACACACTCGTGACGGCGCGCGGCAAGACGCACCACGAGGCAACCCTGAGGGCCACGGCCGGGGTTGCCCAAGTCGTTGAGCGTATCCGGCGGCTGGGTCTCGAGGTGGCTCTGCACAAGTCCGAGGCCCTGTTCTTCCACGGGCTTCGGAGGAAGCCGCCTGAGGGATCTAGCCTCACGGTAGGAGGCACTCGCATCGGCATCGAGCCCTCGATCAGGTATCTGGGGCTCGTACTCGATGGCCGATGGGACTTCGGATATCATTTCCGAGGTCTGGTCCCCAAGTTGGTCGGGGCAGCGCGTGCGTTGGCGCGGCTGCTGCCCAACATGAAGGGACCCGATGACTCCTGCCGGAGACTCTACTCGGGGGTTGTGCGGTCCATGGCCCTTTACGGGTGCCCAGTATGGGCGGGGGCCCTGAAGGCCAGCAACGTCGCGATACTGCGGCGACCGCAGCGAATGCTGGCCATCAGGATCATAAGGGGGTACCGCACGATCTCCTTCGAGGCGGCGAGTCTCCTGGCCGGAACTCCACCGTGGGACCTGGAGGCGAGAGCCCTTGCAGCACTGTATCAGTGGCGCAAGGAGGCGCAGGAGTTGGGTCGATACCCCGAGATTCGAGAAATCGATGACCGGAAATCCCAACTCCGCCAGGTCACCATAGGGGAGTGGAGGGAACGACTCGGGCAACCGAGCGCCGGGCACGCCGTCGTTGCGGCGGTAAGACCCGTTATGGAGGATTGGCTCGAGAGGCGTCACGGGACCCTCTCATACCGATTGACGCAGGTGATCACTGGGAAGGGATGTTTCGGAGATCACCTGTGTCTGATCCGCAAGGAGCCAACGCCTGAGTGCCACCACTGCGATGGCCAGACCGTGGACACGGCTCTCCACACGCTGGCAGAGTGCCCGGCGTGGGTTGAGCAGAGGCGAGACCTCGTGGCGGCCATCGGAGTGGGAGTTCTCTCGCTCGATAGCCTGATTGCGGCTATCGTGCGGAGCGAGAGTGCGTGGAACTCTGCCGTCTCCTTCTGCGAGCAAGTTATGCTCGCGAAGGAGACGGCGGAGCGGGACCGGGAGAGGTTTAGAACTCTCCCGGCCCGCCAGGCCCGGGCACGGGCCAGGCAGCGCAGGCGACTCAGGCGCCGGAGGTCGCAGGACGACCTCCGTCCTCCATAAGCGCAGGCCTGGGGGTGACAGGTGAGGCCATCTGTCACCCTAGCAGAAGCAGGCCGGGGTGGCGGCGAGCGCGTTGCGAAGCGCGCTCGCTTCCAGGGAGCACAGGGAACATGGGGTTCCCACACGGGGCGGGGGTCGTCTACTCGTCTGTAGATGACCCGAGGTATGTCGGGGCACCAGGGCCTTCCTTTCTAGGGTATACCTGGTTCCCCGGCAATTAGTACCCGGCGAAGGCGTGCGGTTTTAGTCGGTTCGAGTCCGACATGCCACCGACAGGTGGTATCCGAGGGGATTTCCGCACGGAAAAAAAAAAAAAAAAAAAAAAAAAAAAAAGGTACATTTACGAATCCACTGCCAGTATTAAGAGCAGAACAAAACTATTTGTTATGCTTATGCTTGTAATCTAATTAGTAATAATAAATACAATTAAATTTTCTTGCATATAGTCAAATGTTCTTAATTGTTGAAACTTTTGATTTAATTTCATACCTACTAAAGAAGGTTGCCTAAACTCTTTGTGAACGACATTCTAATAGCGTTATCGTAGAAACAACGTCGAAACAATTATGCACAAAATTACTCTAATTACAATAATATTTACGATTTTAAAGAAATGAAATTCATAATAATGATAAAATTTATGATAAACAATTCCATTTAATTTCTTACCGAGCTGTATCGAGTGGCAAATAAAACATAATATGAACAATAAAATAACTAATATTTTGTTAATCGGCGACTTAAGGTCGCAACAGTTACGCTAAATTAGTTCGGTATACTAGCAGTCACAGGTTCAAAAATAAGCGAGACAGCGAGTATAAGTGGGAGAGTCGAGGCGAGTGGTCGTGTAGTGGCTTGCTGTGGGATCGCTTACATCCAGCACTTATATCGCTATTCGCAGGTACTTACGCGCTCTATTAACCAACCTACTAACCGAGGCATAGGTCAGCGATTGTAAAGTTATTTCTCGGGGTCAAGACAGTTCACTCATGGTTCAGTGTTTAAACGAGTGTCTTACGACGTACGAGTTGAGTGCCACGAACGTGAGCCAGACTAAAGTCTGTTCTGCATGCTGACGAGGTTTGATGCCATCACTTACAACTCTTGCAAGGAGAAATTTATGTACGAATGATTGATTGATAATATCGAATGAATGTTGGAAATAACGGAGTTCATTACTAGCACTTTTTTAGATTCATCGAATCAATCGAATTCAAAAGTTAGCTTATTAGAGAGAGAATAATTAAATTTTATTTGATAAGGAAACATATGGTGTCAACCGCTGTATTGAAACATTAAAATAGTTTATCTCGGACATATTTATTATTCATTTATAAGTTTTGTAAGTTGACCCATTACTTTTATCAGCACCTTGATCTATTTACCGACTTTGTAATTCAAGTTGGGTCTTTCATTGCCCTAAAGGTTGGTGAAGTTTATCAATATTATATTTTCTTCATCATTTAATAACTATTACTACTGTCATTACTACATATAAGTACAATATTAATATGTACAGAAAAGCTTATAATAATAGGTATGTTTACTAATGACACATTTATTACCCAATAAACTGCCACGACAAATTACTCGTAGTTCCCCGCAGATGGTAACGTTTAAACTTTTTCATCAAACATTATAATGGTAAGTTCTATATATTTTATCAAATAATAAGTAGTGACATCATATCTAACTATAGCTAAACCACCTACTTACACTATTGGTTTACGATTAAACACAATAAGACAATTGGAAACAGTGATGAATATCGAATTTCTTTCTCACTTTCTCATTTCTTGAGGACTGTTAAATAGTTCATTTTATTCCTGGGGACGTATTTTAATATCCTATTTCATATGGTCATACATGTATGACATGTATGACATACATGGTATAACAATATGAATAATAACAATATAATATGCTGATTTCAAAAACAACAAAATCTTGCTCTGCAGTTAGTTCAATTTAGTTACCAAAATTTTTTCCTCATACCTGTTTATGCATATTAAGCGTATATTTATTCGAAGCCGGTTGTTTTTTAATTGTTTTATATACTCAAAAAACACCGTTTTTAGAATGGTCAGTGTTAACTTATAGTACCTACCTATGTTAATTAATGTGATACAACTGAGCTCGTATAATCTATTAAGTATGTTTCATATTCACTTCAAAACGATGGCTTCGTTAGTTTAGAAGTTTTGTTGAATTTTTGCAGTTAGCTACTCTAATCACAATTGTTAGTTGAAATGACTTTCTTTCGAAGTAATCAGAGTAAGCATAATCATAATATAAACGAATTAATTAACCTACCTAATAGAACTTGAGAGAGTTTATTTGCGAATGCATTTATCTCTAGAACTACAATTTGCAATATTATTATTTTTATTAGATAAATCTCTTATCAGGAGCTCCTTGCTAATTAGAGAAGTGGATTTATTATATTTCCCACTACTTAAATTTACTTCTAATTCATTTCGTTGCGGGTTCCAAGTCAAACTCAAACTCAAATTTTCGTTATTTCATAAAATTTCCAAAATTGTTTGAAATCGTCTTCCATGTAGACTCTAAAGTCACAGATCAACACACACAAAAGCAACAATCTCTGTTTTGTCAAATAGTAACCAAATAAATTTAACAAAAATCAAACCCATACAAAATCTATGATATGCCTGTGCCGATCTACAACCGCCCGTTTCCAAGGGGTTGAGCCTTATGAGAAGAAAGGGCAAACAAACTCATGGCCACTCTTTTGCAATTCATAGGTAGATACAATGGCACTATTAAATATACCACAACATTGTTTTAATGTGTGCTAGTATGTCCGTTATTAAGGACTAAAAGGTGAAAAGACAATGAAGAGAAAACAAGATTAAGAAGAAAAAAACGAATACAAGAGAAAATGAAGTGAAACATAAAAAATAGAAAAAATAATAATAATAAAAAACATACTAGCCACACCACATTTTTACTTAAGAAAGAAATAGCCTGCGCTAATTAATCCCAAGCATTCTTGTCCTCCATGTAATCCACAATCGAGTAGTAGGCCCTCTGGCATAAGCCACGTTTTATTGCGGATTTAAATTTGTTAATACTCAACTCCTGAATATTATTTGGGATTTTATTATAAAATCGGACACATTGACCTCGAAAAGACTTGTTTATCTTTTGGAGCCTAGAGGCGGGTCAAGTCAGTTAAACATTCTAAAGGGTGGTAGCGTGATGCTTTTATATGGCACATAATGTTCCGTAAGGCCATCAAATACAAAAGAATTTTCAAGATCCACCGGTGGTAACAAAGATTAGGGCATGCAACCGAAAAACATACTTTAGCTTTATTATAATAATTTAAATTGTGTAGGTATGTATCATTTCTAAGGAGAGGCTTATATCCAGCAGTGGACTAAAAGGCGGTTTAATGATGATGAAATATTAATGTAAATACGTAGTAAATGCCCCAACAAAATATCGAATGTCAGGTACTTTTATAGGCATGTAGCGTTGCACTGGCCGTAGTAACCAGCCTGTGACCGAGAACTCATGAACGCGAGAGTTTCCGATTAATTTATAATGTTTTCATAAACCAATCGATAAGCTTATTGCAGGCTGCTGGTGAAATAGATCTCTTTCAATGTGGAATGTTTTATTGAAATCTATTACAGATTTTTGGATTTGCATCTACATATTTTATACATGCTTTCTGTGTTAAGACTGTAATCATTTGTCCTTGAGTAGACATTGCAAGATTTCTACATGTACTCGTACTCTATAGTTCTTCAGCGATAAATAAAGTTATGTACTTCTAAACTGTTATTGTATAAGTTTAACGATTTCTTTTATATAAAGTTTAATTCAATCCTATCATTTAAGGTCACACTTAATTGTGAGTTGATCAAGAGGTCATGAATTATCGTCGACGAGTATATATCGGAGGTACAAATTATTAATAGACATCCATTTTGTTTCATTTCATCAGCAGTTTTGGCACTATTGTTGGTGAGCACAGTACTAGAACATTTTGAGATCTTTGAACGTGTATGCATAGTAAAGATTGTTTTAAAAAAAAACATTATGATGAAGAACAACATGGATATCGTAAATCAAAAAAGATATTGAAGTTTAAACATTTTTTTTGTGTTTTCAATTCAATATGCGTTATCAATTTTTTATAATTCAATATGTATGATTTTTTATTTCTTTGTTAGTTTAAAAGCCCCGATCTCTTGAAATTTCAGTCAGATTCAAATGAATATTTTTTAATTTTATTGAGTATTAATGGAGGAAGGTTTTACATCATGTAACATCAAGCTACGACAGCTAGAAGTAGATACGCCTAAGGATACGCAAAATTTATATTATTACTTAAGTAGTATTTTACTCGATACCGGATTACTCGATTGTATCAAAAGTATCGATACCAATAATGTATCGGAACAAAATTATCGATACCTGAAGGTATTGAGTATTTTTTAATACATTTTTAAAAACCTGAATGGAGTGTTGTTTGTGTTGCTAAGTTTGACAAAAAAAAACATTTCTCGTTCTCACTTGTTTTTAGTAGGTATTTTGGAACATATTTTACACGAAGCTGTATCATTATCATTTTTTAAATATTTCTACATTTCGCTGGTTTCTCCTGGCGGTATCTTCTTGAGATTGATTTAACTTTAAATGCAAGTACGAGTAATATATCACACATTTTTATGTCGAGATGAGATACGATTTTTATGAAACGAAAGCGAAAGAATAACGTCCTACGGTAGACATCTTCTTTACAACTCATATATTTTGGTAGTGTTGCTACTTGTTATTTCAGGAATATGTCAGAGAAGTACTTTTCTATAACTAAGGAACTGGAAGATGCTGTGCAAATAATGCAATAATACGATTAAGGGCTGCGATTCTCAGAAAACTGACTAAGTGTCATAGTTTAAGTGACAAAAAACACCACAGATTATTCAACCCGTAAAGGTTCATTTATCGCATATCGCATTACAGCCGGCCGAGCGGCTAAGGCCAATATGGCGGCGCTCGCATCACCTGACCGATCCCAAAAAAAGTTTCACTTATATCATGGTTTCATAAAACCAAACCACACATTTTTTTTTCTTAAGCTGGTAATTTATTAGAAATGGTGAGAAGGAAAGTATCAATACTTTTAGATGGTATCAATACCTTAAAAGTATCGATTCCAAAAGTACTTGGTATCCAAACAAAAGTATCGATACCCTGAGGAGATACCCCGAGATACTTTTTGCGTATCTCTAGGTACGGCTAGTTAGTTCATAAATAGTGCAGCGCCAAATTATTTTATAAGTCTGAAGTCTTAGTTATTTTTAAAATAAGAAGGTATTATTTTATGACAAGTAATAATGAAAACAAGCTATGGGTTCAAACTATACTTTTTTGGTTAACTTTTCAGTTAAACTGATGCGTCTGTTCCAGTATTTGTTTGTACGTCCATAGTGTACGATTGCAATGATAATATGTTGTTACTAAGTAATACTTTCAATTACAAAGGTATCGTCGAGCCACGTTATCTGTCAGAAAGGGGCTAATGAGTAGGTAATTAAATTCAACATAACTTCTCTACTAATTTTACGAGGCAAAGGCAGTTTGATTTTCACCACAATGGCAACAATGTTGTAAAAATAATGTCGTTCATTATTTTGTCGATTACTTAATATACTCCTGGCTACGTACATACACATCTACAAAAAATATAAAAACCTACAAAAAGTTGGATTGTCCAAACGTTGACATATCATGAACTTTGTGGGCCTGATTTTCTCAAATAGTATTTTGCCATCAGATTTTTTTTTGATGAAAGTTACCCTATGTCCTCGTGGTGGGCACATAGCGTGCACAATTTCATATTGATCAGTTCAGTAGTTAGTGCATAAAATACAAAAACTAGCTCAAGTGAGTTATTTCACAAAAAGCTATTTAGTTAGTATGTAGACTGGCATGGTTCCAATTAGCATCATTTTCTACTCTTAATACCTTTACTACATATTATGCCTATACAACTATGATTACCGGGTGCTGGTAACCAACTTGACTCAAAGCGTGTCTGTGAGGTAGCACTCAGAGGGTTTTACCAGTACCTCGAAATGTAAATTTTTTTTTTTTGATGGAAAAGTTTATAAGCTCTTATAAAGTCTTGTATACATCTTTTTAGTTCGCGTTTTAGTTCACCAGGATTTTAACGTTCATTTAACATTTAGACTCAATTAGTTCCTAAATGGATGTTAGTATTGTAAAATGACTGGATAATCATTTCACAGTTTTTTATATTTGTATTATACACCTCATATTATTAAAATTTATCTAACCGTTGCGATGCATAGAATATACATGTAATAGAAATAATAAAAAAACATTAATTAAACATTTTTTAAAGGCAGTCTAAAAGATTGTGATCGATTCCATTGGAATAATTCTGTGCTCATAAATCTTTAGCTAATAGGACATCTGCGTAAACTTGGTTCTGTTAGTAGAACATGTTTACAAGCTTCTCTCTATTTGCACATACTCGGGTAATAGAATCACCTGCCTACAGTGATTTTTGCAGTGATTGCCATACAAAGTTCTTAAGGGCATCGCTTAAGGTGCCATTTTCCTTTTAGCACTTTCTAGGGGGGTTTTAACTTCTTTCAAGTCATTGTACTTTATGTACTTCTAAACTGTACCGGTACAGTAAAGGTTTAGAGAATTTTAAATCGATTATCCACATCACAGAAACGAAGGGTTTCTATACACTTTATAATTTAATTTTAGCAAATCGTTGTTTTTGTTCTACGTCAACCGACTATTTATGTTACGTTGAGAGTTCAAGAACTTTATATATTTATGATCCATGAACGAAGAATCAAAATGTATGTTTTTTTACGATTACCAGTTGTGTGTACTCACTTAAATAGTTATAGGAATAATTCTGGAAGTACTAGAAAGTTACTCTCTCGCATATTTGTTGTTATTGATTCAAACGTAGTTCAGACCAGGAAATGATTTTGTGAAAAACTTTTTAAAGTTTATGATAGTCTTATCCGTTAAGTGGTTAGTCATGTTGTACACATTATACTCAGTAATGGTTAAAACACGACTGATCGCCTAATTGTTAGGACTATGTAGTAAAGATAATAGAGATAATGATAAGAGCAACAGAGACACGAATTGCGAAGTTTAAAAATAGTTCATGAAGCTCACGAAGGTTTGACTGTGGATTTTCAATGTTAACCCTGTTATTATGATAAGAGACAATAGTGGTGGTTATCTAATGTTTAGAGATAAAAGAATAATATGATTACCTATTTCACAAAGCCCGTTTAAATTGTTGTTACTTTTCAATTAAAATATAAAACTATACGTGCGTTTATAATTTACCAATTAATTATTACGTTTATGTTACTAAAGTACATTTAAATATGTAATTTTCTCTAACTAACATGCCTTTTAATTAGATTGTTAAAACAAAACACTTGAAAACAAGTAAGACTAATCGTTTTGTGCAGAATACCGTATTTTTTTTAACACCTATTAAAATCTCTCTTTTCCGATCTACTCCTTTACATATAATCTATACTAATATAATAAAGCTAAAAGATTTGTTTTCTCAAATTATTTTTGTTTGAGAATAAATCTTAAGCCTATTATTGATTAAGCTTACAGGTTATTAAATATTAAGTTGCGATAAACTATATTAGGTAGAGCAGTTGCAATTGCACAGATAATCTTAATTCCCGTAAGATTAACGAATATATGTATATATTTATATATATATAAATGTTAAGTTGGTTTGTGTACGCTTCAAAAACTCAAAAGTTCTGCATCTATTGAGATCAAATTTTGACAAGATATACAACATGCTTCGAAGAATATTTTTACCTACATTTTGTGTCACTTTGGTTCCTCATTTCCCATATCAATATCCAATCACAATGTGCAAAGCGTGGCAGGGTACAGCTCGTTATATTCACGAGAAAATTACAACTTAAAAATTCCCATAGGAAAACCTCAACCATCTGCAACCTTTATCTTTGATAAAAAGTAAACAAGTTCAGACACTTCCTTTAAAAATGCCTTAATTATATTTTAAATTAATGACCAGCCCTGGATTTGCAAAAATCTTTGAAATTCTCTATTGCTTACAAGAACGGGATGCGACTTCATTTTACATTATGTAAAGATTACAAGATAGACGTGCTTAATTTAATATGTACAATTATGTATCATTATTTAGTCTTAAAGAAACCCTGCAGTTCAGCTTGCAGCGGTATAGAAAGACAGAGCGAGAGAGAAATGTACATAATAATAGGTCTTTACCTATGAAATTGCCGTTTTGTATGCAATTAGTGAAAGTACTTATTTTTTCAAACTTTTTTATTTCTGTTATTCGAAGTAATCACCCATGCAATCGACGCATCTTTGCCAACGCATTGGCAGTTTATTGATGCCCTTCTTGTAAAAATCAGCTGGACGGGAGGCAACAAACTCTTCAAAGGCATTTTGTACTGCCTCTCGGGAATTGAATTTTTTACCCCGCAAGCATTAATGCAGATGTGAACTGATAAAACTGGAGAGAATGATGGAGAAGCTTGCACATCTGCAACCAGCTTTGGTCAATCGGTCTTCCCCACTGCTCCTTCTCCAAGCTGCAAGAGCTGGGGTTGGAAGCTCTCCCTCATCCGCCATACTCACCAGACCTTGCACCTACCGACTATTACTTTTTCCAAAATTTAGACAACTTTTTAGTGGGTAAAAAATTCAATTCCCGAGAGGTAGTACAAAATGCCTTTAAAGAGTTTATTGCCTCCCGTCCAGCTGATATTTTCAAGAAGGGCATCAATAAACTGCCAATGCGTTGGCAAAGATGCGTCGATTGCATGTGTGATTACTTCGAATAACAGAAATAAAAAAGTTTGAAAAAATAAGTACTTTCACTTATTGCATACAAAACGGCAATTTCATAGGTAAAGACCTAATATGTATATGTACGATACGATTTCGATGGTAAAAAGAACTTATTAGTCAAATCGTGCTATAGTTTAGCTTTTTATTAAAGTTTATCGTCCTACCTTTTAACAAAATTAAATAAAGTCGATGTATAACATCAAAAGCAAAAGAAAATAATATCAAGTAATTAACATAAAAATACAATTAAGAATAAGTTTAGACAAAGACACCCAAAACATCGCAAGGTCATTAGTACATCAGCACAAGTACGATGTGTAAAATTATTCAAAAAATACAATCCCATCAAAAACATTACAAATAAGAAATGCAAGTCTCGCAACCTGTGAGATCTAATTGTTTAGTAACAACATTTTATAGTAAGGTACCATTTCAATATTAGGCATCTTTATAACTTTAATAAATACAATGACTTCACTGTCATAGAAAAATATTTTCAACTGGAAATAGTGCTAACTATAGTAGCACGCTAATAGTAGGTACAACTTGCAGTATGAAGATCTGCTTGTATGAAGAAGTGATTCCAAGTAGGATAAAATAGTTACTCTTACAGTAACTATAAGGTATTTAAGTATGTGGTTCTGCTGGGTGCATCTTGAAATAATGATGTTCGGTGAGCGAGTGAATGTGTCAATGACAAAATTAAGGAATTTGTACTTTTAAAGTGCTGGGAAATACTTACTTATGTTATACACCCGAGTTATAGAGGAGTTAACATGTTATGTAACTGTTTCAAAAAAATATTGTACATACTGTGACTAGGTATGTTCATTTAATTTTGTGCTTGGCGGGGACTCTGCTACCCTCTAATATATCTCTTAAATCAATCTCAGCTTAAACTACGGTTAAAGAGTAATACCTCTACTCGAACTTCTAACAGTAAATACGAGTACATACATATGTATGTATATAGTTGGCCGGAGTTAAGACTGATAAAGAACAGTTTAAGCAATTAGGTTTAAAACACGCATACGCCACACATGGGACTTAAATCAGAAAGGCGGTTAGAATTTAAACATGTTTATTCTAAGCGTAAACTAATTAATTACCTTAATAATGAAAATTTTCAATGTGTATAATTCAGTTGTAAGTGGTGAAAGTACATTTGATTCGATCATCCTAATGATTTAACTTTCCCAGTCTCAACTTGAAAAAAGAATGCTATTATTACAGTATGTTTTATTTTCATAATTTTGTTTTCAGAACCAAAATGGCGTCACAGTGGAGAGTTTTTGTAATAGTTTCATTGTGGACTGTTGTAAATAATCCATCATTAGGGACGGAGGCGTCACAAGACTTCATTCCCACGGTAATTCAAGTTCCTTATAGAAGCAACGAGAGATATTCAGAGCCGGTTCATAAGGTAACTTGTAAGCTATTACAAACGAAATAAACGAGAGGCCTAGTAAAATCCTTGGGATGAATTAACAATTGTCACGCAATTTTTCGACCTGATTCTTCTGATTTTAGCTTCGATAACACATACCTACCGTGGTATTATTCGATTGAAGATTTTTGGCATGGCCCTCGTGCCTGTAATATTGGTAATAATTATTGATGTTATGTTATGTTCTTAACGATCAATGAACTATTCCCGGTTTAATTACTGATTCTGAATTTTCAATTGAAAATCTCTTCGGATCTCCGGCTTCTTGGGTATGTGGTGTTTCCACAAAAGTGGCCAAATCAATTTGGTTAATTAAGGCACAAATAAGGTTCTTATGGAGAGACAAAGATAAAGTTGCGAGGGAAATAGTAGAAACAACACCTTTCCTTTCCCCATAAAAACCACTGAGTAAATTAAAACAGTCAATGAAAACAAGACAAAGGCGCGGTTACGACAGGACAATAACTTTTGACAGAACGAAGTCTGTGGGGATAGCTAGTTACTAATAAAATTGTTTTTAAAATTTATTCATCTAATATTTACAGACTTCAACATCACATTCCTACTGGATTTTAATATGTGTTGTGTATCTGTAAAGACGTAAGTCATTTGTCGCGATGACGGAAATTATCTTTTCAATTATTCGTAATGGAACAAATTGAATTAATCATTAGCAGGTCGTCGTAGGTTAATATCTATCATTTGTAGTCTTATAAATTTTATAAACTGATTGTGAGATATATTTAAAAAGGGATGTCAACTTCAACTTCAACTTTTGGTTAATGGCTTTGTGGTAGAGTGTAACCACAATTTCTCCAATGTCATGTAAAAGGGATGTCAAATATATGTATATGTATAAGACATGAATGTTTAGAAGTAAGTGAAGGATGTCAAGAGAAAGTCGCCGTCATAAGGAGAGGTGAGACTCGGCAAGTTAGGTTAGTAATAGACCATCGTAACAAAAACAACAAAAACTTAAAACTGTTGACAGTTTAAGAAGAAAATAATGACAACAACAAGAAAAAATAATTTAATTTGAGTTACGGGATGTAACTGGGTGAATCTACCGTGGATAGCTATTGTTAGCTACTTATGTAATCATAGTTAAATACCTAGGTAAGAATTGCAGCTGTTGTTATCCCTAAAAATAAATTAATGAACTTTTAAACATGTGACTTCAGTATTTCCAATGTTACCGGAAAAAATGCAATGAGAATGTTATGGAAAAAACATATAAAACGTTTTCATTTTAATTTTTTTAAACTTAACATCAAATTTGACAAAGAATGACAAACTGACAAAGAATTTTAAACCTTAACCTATTCAGTTTTAAACGTTCAAAAACAATATTTTTACCCAAAAGTTAGTGAAAATTGACGTGTTTATGTCCCAAATATATTATAGTTTTTTCCATCAAGATATTTACTTATACTTTATTTATAATAAACCAAAAAAGAGCCTCTTTTTCTGGACAAAGTTTGAACGTATGAACTTTTTTTTTATACATACTTATTATACATAGAAACACCCAAACCAAATCAAACATTAAACAATTGTGTGCATGAAGCACACAAATGTTTGACTTGCGGGAATCGAACCCGCGACCTTTGGAATAGCAGTCCGTAACACAAACCACTACGCCATCCGGTCGTAATCCGTTTCAAGACAGACGATGTGATAATGTGGCTCATTCCCCAAGAGTTGCCCCTATTTGCAATAATAAACTAAATTCTAAATTAAATATTTGAAGAACCGTTTTACTATGTAGTTACCATAATATTTCTTGATGCAATGCTGTACGTAAATACAGATGTGCTTAAAATATGTAGGTTGCCGCCATGTGGCGAGATTGTATTAATCATAATACCTATCTCTGCCAATCCTCTGCAACACGATAATTTATTGATCGTATCGTATTATTATTCGTATAGTATATATATAGTATCGTATTACTGTTCAAATCTATACAAATAAATTAAATTGAAGTGTCTGTTTGTAATGTCAAAATAATAGGTTTTTTTCATGCGCACACGGTTATTTGCACGATATTTATGCCTAAAAACCAGTTTACATTTGTTTATCTGTCTGTTTGTTCGGGTTATCTTCGAAACGGCTGGACCGATTTTGATAATATTTTATTACCAGGTAGCTGTCTATGTAAGGAGTAACTTAGACTATTTATTATTTTCCTCTAATAAAAACCCTTTAAAATGTTGCCCGGTCCGGGAATCGATCCCACCACTAAGGCAGCGCTTTTCAATTTACACGCGAACGAAGTCGCGGGCAAAAGCTAGTTATTAATATAACAACCATTTGAACATAATTTTCAAACATTAATAGGTATATGAATTAAGTATAAACAAAGTATATACAAATTATCGTCTGTGGTATTTCCGGACCGACACGAACTTCAAACCTCCAAGAAAAGAGCGTACTCGCTTGTGACTCCTTTTTTTTCCGTGCGGAAATCCCCTTGGATGCCACTTACCGGTGGCAATGTCGGACTCGAACCGACTAAAACCGCACGCCGTCTCAAGTACCAGTAGTCGGGGAACCAGGTGTACCCTAGAAATGAAATCCCTGGTGCCCCGACGTACCTCGGACCATCTACCATGTTCCCTCTGTGCTTCGCAACGCACTTGCCGCCACCCCCGCCCTGCTTCTACTAGGGGGACAGATGGCCTCACATGTCACCCCCAGGCCTGCGCTTACGGAGGACGGAGGTCGTTCTGCGACCTCCGGCGCCTGAGTCGTCTGCGGTAACGGGCCCGTTCCCGTGCCTGGCGGGCCGGGAGAGTTTTAAACCTCTCCCGGTCCCGCTCCGCCATCTCCGCAATCAGGTTATCGAGCGAGAGAACTCCCACTCCGATGGCCGCCACGAGGTCTCGCCTCTGCTCCACCGTGGCTCAGGCGTTGGCTCCTTGCGGATCAGACACAGGTGATCCCCGAAACATCCTTTCCCAGTGATCACCTGCGTCAGTCGGTATGAGAGGGTCCCGTGATGCCTCTCGAGCCAATCCTCCATAACGGGTCTTACCGCCGCGATGACGGCGTGCCCGGCGCTCGATTGCCCAAGTCGTTCCTTCCAGGATCTATATCCTACTAGGATCCGGCGGAGTTGGGATTTCGGTCATCGATTTCTCGAGTCTTAGGACTCCGACTCAACTAGCGCGCCTCCTTGCGCCACTAATAAAGAGCCGCAAGGGCTCTCGCCTCCAGGCCCCACGGTGGAGTTCCGGCCAGGAGACTCGCTGCATCCGTCGCAGTAGTGCGACGTTGCTGGCCTTCAGGGCCCCCGCCCATACTGCGGCCCCATAAAGGGCCATGGACCGCACAACCCCCGAGTAGAGTCTCCTGCAGGAGTCATCGGGTCCCTTCATGTTTGGCAGCAGCCGCGCCAATGCACGCGCTGTCCCAACCAACTTGGGGACCAGACCTCGGAAATGATGTCCAAAGTCCCATCGGCCATTGAGTACGAGTCCCAGATACCTAATCGAGGGCTCGATGCCGATGCAAGTGCCTCCAACTATGAGGCCAGTTGCCAGAGTTGCAGGCGTTCTCGTTTGGTCTTCTCCCCCAGGTCTGCTCGTTTGTACCCTCTATCATATAAAATAATTCAAAGGTTATATATAAGCTATAAACGAGTATGTATATACATTGTATATGCCCACCTATTTTTTAAACAATACGAGTAGTGCACACTATATTGTACTGATTTTATAAGCAAAACCAAATCCTTCTTTCTAAGGAGAGGTCTATGTCCAGCAGTGGACTATTAAAAGCTGTTGATGATGATGATGATATGCAAAAAGGTGTTGATATTTTCCTTAATTAACAAATCAAAAGCGTATTACTAAACATAGAAAGAATGATAGTATTTGCTCTATAACTATCTTATGTGTTTTCAATTCCTATAGAGGGACTCCAAGGGCGATAATGCACTTGTGACTTTTGAGTTGCGGGTGTCCATGGGCGGCGGTGGTTGCTTGCCATCAGGTGACCCATCTGCTCGTTTACCCCCTTATACCATAAAAAAAAGAGTTAATCCTACGGATCTCCTCATAATTGCTGTATGTGTACCTACGTTATATGGTTATAATGTTTCAAAACCTTTTCCTGTTTTTTTTGTTATTGCATTGTATACGGGTATACCCATACTTTATTTTTACCTATACTTCAGCTTCCATTACAGTTTTGAGGTCCAATAAAATACGTATTATGAATGCGTCTTATTATAAATTATTGAATAATTTATAACATAACATTAAAAGAATCTATTAAGCGGTAATCTGTGTACTTTGTAATCTCTGCTGAAATGACAATGTTTTAATTTTTTATTTATTTGTGACGTATTTAAAATGATTTAAATGCTTATGAATATAAATTAAGAAAAGATTTTAGATAATGTTACCGATATATACCTATAATTTTAGTTTAATGTATTATGATTACTGTTGATAGCTGGCTTCTTTTATAAATTATTTGAGACGGCTATAAAATATGCTTATCTAAGTCGGTACCTGTTTAGTTTGTATTTAAGAAAACGATTCAAGAAAGTAAATAAGATTAAGTATTTGGTGCACTTATCAAAAAAATTAAAAATATTTATCTTGTAAAGTGGGGGTCTTGTATCTTGTAAAGTAACATATTTATCTTGAGTTAAATAATACTCTCTATATTCCAGTATAACCCACAACATAATTATACATATCGAAATGGGTATACATATATACATTCAACATACATTATAGTTGTAACAAACTTCACCTTTCATGAAGAAGTGAAATAAATAATTAAAAAAAAGTATGATCGACTTAAAAATTCTCATGATTAATAGTAATAAACTGAACTCTTGATTCATTGATTAAATTAATCTTAATTTTATTGATTTGTTTAAAGTAAACAAAGAGTTAATTCGATCAGACCCCACTTTAGTCATAGTCTTCAATAAACTCATTTTGTTTAGAAAAATTAACTGTACGCAACTGGTGGAAGTAGTAGTACAACCAAAGTCTCTTCGCTCATAATATTACTTACTTTACGCTCATATCACTTAATCCACATAAGGATTACTTAGCTATCTGCCTGCCTGTTAGAATCACTTTCCATACAAGGCACCGAGGGGTCGGCAAAGATCGCGGAGGCCCGTTTAATTGATCAGACCAAACTATAGTCATATCAGTCATTTGTTTGACTAATTTTCAATTAGGCTGCTTATTGTTTTTTTTTTTAATAACGAAAAACCCGGGATAATGCGTCTACAACTGCATTTTTCGAAACCTCATTATAGTAAAGTTCATATTCTTCTAAAATGGACATTTAAGAAATGGAATAATAGATTTTTCATGAATGATACAATTTACGGTCTGTGGTCTGTTAAAATCTTAAAATGTTTACCTTATAATTATTTTATTTGACGGCACGGATGGCGTAGTGGTTTAAGCGGTCGCCACGCCGCTTCCTATTACGCCGACTGTTGTGAGTTCAAACCCCACAACAACAACAACAACAATTTGTGGACAACACTTTGTGTGATCCATAAATTGTTGTTCTGAGTCTGGGTGTACTTTGTGTCCGTTTCATATACACAGGATTTATTCCTAGTGCGGGAGTTGTCTTTAAAAAAAAACGAAAAAAAAACACCTGAAATTGACTGATGATAATGCCTTTAAAGCCAGCAATTCATTTGTTTGTTATTCAGTGTTTGCATAGTTAATTTCTAACCAATAATACCACTAATAGGTTTACCAATACATAATTTATTTGACGAAGTTGCTCCTATTGTATAATGAAAACGTATCTGTCTGAACAATAAACTTATTTTGGTTTGAACAATTTTGATATTCGAAACCGGTGGCACAATGTTTTTTAAATTATAACAGATATTTTCATTATTTAAAATTCACTTTTTGTAAGAATGAGTTTAGCCTGTGAGATCAATAAAATATCTATTAGGTTACGATATGTGCATGTAAAGCTCTATCATACGAGCGTATGTAACGCTCATGTTTATTAGCTCCATCTTACTTACTTGTCTTCCTATTAGAATCACATCCCATACAAGCCACCGAGGTGTCGGGTAAGCAATAGCCGGAGCAGGTCGATGCCCGTCTCACTTAACAGGTCAATGCCCGAAGGCAGAGTCACCATTTAAGGTTTCAGGTTTTTGAAATAGAAATATATTTTAGTAAAATTCGTGATTAAACATACAGCAATATAACTGGTACCCAGAGATTATGCGATTATTATTTGCTTAATTATAATTACAAGTTTATATAAATTAAAATATTCAACTATTGTTAGGCGTTTTTGCGGTAATCTGGCCTTTATTTCTATTCTTCAAAGATCTAATTTCCAAAACCACTCTTTAAGTTGCGTTGTTTAAAACAGAGTGTTTTGACCTTTCTTGGTTTAAATGTTAATGAGTTTTAGTGGCCTCAAGCCTAAAATAGTAGGTTCCGTGTGTTATCAGTTTTTACCATCGTCCTTTATAAGACTTCCAATGCTGAGCAAGGGTTTTTAAAACTACGTCTTTAAAAGGACTTTAAAAACCGAAAGGTTATGTTCTGCAAGTTCACGGTATAAAATATGGATGAGTTATTAAATACGTTAATTTAAGACTGTTTAAATAGTTCTCTCTTTTAAACGTCACTGTGATACGATCTGTAGACCTTGTATGAAGTATGTGTGACGTCAGAGCCCCCAAATTATTAAGATATTATCTGCTTCATCATTAAAAAATTATGATGTCTGTGTGCAATTCACACACGGCAGAAGTGAAACTTCCGAAAAAAATATTTCTTTCTTTTTTTATCTCAGACAAACTCCAAAATTTTGCCCGGCCCGGGAATCAAACCCTCTAAGGTAGGCTTTTCCAAATTTCACGCGAACGAAGTCACAGGTACCAGCTAGTATTAAATAAAAAGATAAAAATATTCACACTGTCAAAATATTATTTCGAAAATAATGTGTAGTGAATTCTATCTCATTCTCTTGCCGACTTAATCCTATACATTTATGTATTTGTTTCGTTATTGTGACGCATTTTCGTTTCATCGAGTTTTCTAAAGAGGTTTACTTCAATAAGGAATCATAGGTTTTTGTAAAATATACCTGTAACAACAAATTTCCTGAGGATTGTTAAAATTATCAAAATCTGTAGTTTTAAAGTTCATAAAATACTTAACACAGTCTCTCTACCGCTTATGAGCATATTGAATATTTCAGAAACGGTCACATGTCACAGAAGGAAGTCACAATATCAGTATCGTGGGCGATGAGTTCGTGTTGGATGGAAAACCGCTGCGTATTGTCTCTGGGTGCTTACATTATTTTCGATTACCCGCAGCTTATTGGAGAGACAGACTTCGTAAGCTAAAAGCTGCTGGCCTCAACTCGGTGGCTACGTAAGTATGCATAAATATTTTCTGCCTTTTATTAAATACTACAAATAGAAGACGTTTTAACAATAATGAAAATAGATTAGAATTAGATACATAGGTATTAGCAGACCCGCGAATGCCCGCGGCAGTGATTTACACGTTTGCCGCCAGTAGGCTATTAAATTCTTGCCGCCCCTACTAACTTTTACAATAGGGGGCTGGAGACTCCAAGTGCTGGCTTTGCCGCCGTGTAAGCGCTCCAGTCTGTCATCGTCCAGTGGGTAGGGCGTCAGCACAGGACCCTTTCCTTCCGACTGACGCAGATCCTTTCCGGCCACGGCTGCTTCGGGAAGTATCTGCACTCGATCACTGGGAGTGAATTGAGTCCTGCCTGGGTAATTTGCCTACCTTGGGCATCGCAGCGTCGAGGAGGATCTTTCACCGCCTCTCTCGAGCGGCGGAAGCACGTATTGCAGGGCCTCATGCCGCATTAAGTAATGATTAATAAAAAAGTTAGTCAAAATTACTAATTTAAATTGTAATATTTAACCGCTATTGGAATATTTAAAAAATCCATATTCACAAAGGTATATTTCACGAAGCGTTTATTAATTTTTCAAGTACCGATGTTGGCGTATAGTACCTTCTTTTTCTTTTTTTGTTGACGTTGACGCTTACATTGCAAACGCTGGCTAAACTTTTCGAAATATACCAAAATAATGTACCACGGAATTGTATATTTTAAAAAGATCTACAAATATGTCCGCAATGGTATAGGTCTATCTCCTAAGAATAAACCACAGTAACCATTTTTATCTTATAAATATTACAAAAAAATAATGGCTTATTTACGAAGCTATTTTAAACAATACATTATTATTATTTATCCAATTAAATATGTTAGATAAGTTGTGCATTTCATGTAGATTAAAATTGCTCTTTACAGCATATCATTAAAAAATGAATATTTTTAAAGATATTAGAGGTTTAAAATGCGAGGTTTAAAAACTACTAATGTGGGGCCGTACGTCACGTACAGTGCACCCATGCGAAGCCGGGGCGGGTCGCTAGTGAACTATATGTATGTATGTACATCGTCGCATACATACTACGGGTTCTCAGAAACGTCGTCGGCGGCGGACAGTGCGAGCGGACAAGGTAGCACGCCGCATGCGTCGGTCGGTATGATATTTGTACCATAGTACGACGTCCTGACTTTATGAGTTTTAAAAGTGAAAATGACGAATTGTTAATTATTTAATAGGACATAATACTATCTTGTTCGATGTATCAAACAACAATTTATGTGGGTCAGTGATTTTATGAATTTTGAATTTTTTTTTTTTCTTTTCGTTGATAACGTCAGAAGTTCATCTACCACTTCTTTTCTAAACAATATTAATATATTTTAGTTCATTTTGCTCCGAGTACAGACACGTGGATCACCCACCCGCAAACCATCGTAGGGCCAAGCTTACGGCAGTTAGACTATATCCCATCGTCAATCCATCCATCGTCAATTCGTCACTTAACGCTATATATATATATTTACAAAAAATATTCACAAAATACCTACCTATTTATAACGCACACGTCACACTGTTCAAAACTTATATTACCTTTACCTACTCTATAATTAAACTTCTTATTAACATATATTAGATACCTATTCTATGAACAACGCGTTGTACAATTGTAGTTGTAAAATTTCGTAGCTTCACGAAATTTTACGCCTACAACTAATTTACTAAAATAAGAATTCACAATTAAATATAAGTGTGAAGACTAATTAATCCATCACTACTTGTCAGTTGCTTCAAATTAGGTTACGCGTCGTTTACTTTTCTTCAATACAATGGAGTATTTAGTACTAGTTGAAGATAGTGATGATAAAATAAAGTAAGTTATTAGTGTGGATATTCACTATTTATCTTAAGTAGCGCCATTTGTACAACATTGCAACTTGTTGCTCCGAGTGATCAATAGTTTTGAATTTTTGAAGAGAAAAAGTATCGTTTGTTGTTCATGTTTTCAAAACACTCAAAACTCATTATTTTTAATGAATTAAATTGATGAATAAACAAAATAAATGTTCAATTCATTAATTTAAATAGCAAGTGGTAGTGATTATTTATTATATAGTAGGTTAGGTGTCGTGGCAGAGAAAGAGAAAGAAATAGATTTCAAATGATCACTAGATAGATTACACAAGCAACGAGTTGCAGTGCAGCAAAAGCCTATGTATATTTATTTACCTGCTTTGTATATATGGTATATATTTATATATATATATTATATATATATATATATATATATATATATATATATAAATATGTACATGTGTACATAATTTTTTATTTGATATTAACTTAATTATCCCAGATCAATCAGTGTTTAATTTAGCATTATTTATTTTATACTTATATATAAATATTTTTCATAAATTTTTAATTTTACTCTAATAATTTGATCTTTTATAATATAAATCATAATGACTGTATAGCAAAAAGCGTAAGGAGCTTGTGTGTAAGCCAAAAAATATTTTTCTGCCAAATTTGCTGGCCTAGGCTTCAGCCTACACAGCCTGCTGGTAAATCCGTCGGTTTTGTTGACCTTCGATAGGAGGGAAAAAGAATGTGTGACAATAGTTCCGAAACTCCCCTCAATTTTGTCTTTTGGCTACAACATCTATCCGTTCTCTCTGTATCTCTTTATCTCTGTGTCTCTGTAGTGTTGACCGCCCGTGTGGTTTTCCTCCAAAATACCTACTTTCTGACTAACAGTATAGACTATTTGTTTTTCACAAATTATAATAACGGAAATTGTATTTCATCAAAATTATACTTTAAAATTACATAGATATAAATGTTGAAATTATTGCATTTGTTACATGGTAATTACTATACTTTAGATAACTTTATTGGTTATGAGGAAAACGAAATACTAAGACGCCTATTTAAGAGCAGGAGCAAAAACACACATAATCAAAAAAAAACGCTAATGGCGAACCGAACTAAAAAGTATAAAAAACCGTGTTCCACTGTCAACTTCCAGCTTCATCTTCAGACCGTCGTTACAAAGCCCAATCTGCAGAACTACAAAAAAATCATATGGGCTTCAGTAGTTTATTAGTAAGCACTGAAAACTTCTACAGGCCACCTCCTGGCTCCATCACACAAAGTTTTACTTCGATGCGACAACCTTCGATGCGACTTCGAATTAGGGTTGAAATTCACTCCGAAAATTTATTTCTAGTTGGTTACTGAAGTTCATTTAAAAAAAAAGATTAAGTTTTCAAAATTTATTCTACAGAAATATATATGTGTTTTTTGTTATTAGGTATGTTGAGTGGAGTTTCCACGAGCCCGAAGAGAGACAGTACACATTCGAAGGTGACCACGATATTGTTAAGTACATTCAAACGGCTGCTGAAGAAGGTCTGCACGTGATATTGCGGGTCGGCCCCTACATCTGCGCTGAAAGGGACCTGGTTTGTGAACATAACTCTTTGTCAAATTTATCGCAAAGCCCGAGTCTGAATCCAACAGGTTCGCGTATACGCTAAATTGTATACGCTAAATTGTCACAGTTTCCAGATATAAATAACAACAACAAAGCGATACAATATAAAATTGAAAAAAAAAAATTCACGGTTCGCCAAAGTGAGGGGGTTTTTTCTCGTCTATCTTTTAACGCATTACTATTAGAAAAAAAATTGCGTGACATTGTTACTAGTATGAAAAGGTTAATATGAAACTTCAGATCCCTACATAGCGCGTGGTCCGGTACTCACCGGCCGGTTTTATTAGGCAAAGCAATGGGGTAGATATTGTCTGTGATGTTTAATTTTTTTTTTACACCGAATTTTAAAAAAGATTGTTGTTAGGGACTTATCTCACTGTTTTTTTTTTATCATTCCTACAGATTGTGTTTACACATTATGGTACATACTCGTATTTCACTAAATACATAGTACTCAAAGCACACAGATTACTTACAACAAATATATGACCTAGACAATATGGATGTATTGATATAGGTTCATTGTCATAATAAGAACCTTTGTATAATATTTATGCAGTCACTTGTGGGTAAATGTCACATTCATTCTATTTGGTAGTTTACGATTATTTTACTATCAAAATAGTGTGTATAAACAAACGCAATAAAATGTTTAACCAAATATATAGGGCAGAAGAAGAACTAACACCACAAATTGTTTTTAGGGTGGATTACCATATTGGCTACTTGGCAAATACCCAAACATAAGACTGAGAACAACAGATAAAAGTATGTTAATGGACATCTATTTCAAATTAAATGAGGGGGTTAGCCGTTTTATGTAACTAAATTCTATTGTTTTTTTTTCAGATTACCAAGACGAGGCCAAGATTTGGATAGATAAGCTATTCTCAAAAGTATCACCGTTACTGTACGGCAACGGTGGACCCATCATATTAGTTCAGGTGAAATACATTTTATATATACTTCAGTAGGATTTCTTTTATGATATCTAGATATAAAAAGAACAGAGAAATCTTAACCAAGTGTTCCTTCCCCTTATGGACTATATTCATTAATAGGTATTTCATTTAAACTTAAAAAAGAAACCGTTCGTAAAGAAGGAAAATCTAAATCGTAATTAAAGATGTATTATTTATGCTAAGTACAGTAAGACTAAACCAAGTACCGTGACAATTTTGTTAGATAAAATTCTAAATTATTTTGCCGATCTATTTCCGTTAATTTCAAATTCATTAATAATACGTAGTTTTACATAATACATGCGAATCCTAATGTGCTTATAGCCGATCCGATAGAATCCGATGTTAAACTTTCGAAACACTACCTGTGCTTCTGGTACAGGGGAATAATAATTATTACTAAATAATTTCCATTTGCTCAAGGATTCGCTAGATATTTTATAAATCAATTCTTATATTCTTTCAAAGCTATGTTTTTTTGAACGAAAATTATCCTGTGTCCTTTTCTATACTTCTGACGATGTTAATGTACAATTGCTTCATAATAATTGACAGGCCTGTTAGTTTAGTAGTTAGTGACTCCGGCTGCTAAAGTGATAAGTCGGAGATCGTGGGTTAGATGCCCATCCGGGACAAATAATTGTGTGATGAGTACGATAATACGATACGATAGTGTCTGGGTGTAATTTGTCTATAATATGTACATACATATACATATTTAGAGATAGCAAGTTTATCAGCGGTCTGTGTGAGATCTACAAAAAAAATCCGGACAAGTGCGAGTTGGACTCGCCCGTCAAGGGTTCAAATTTGCATCTTTTTTTTTACGTTAACTTAGTTTTTTCATACCATCAAGGGACAATGGAGTATAGACCTGAGTATATGGTTTCAACTCGATACCTTCACGCTTTTCCTAGATAAAGGGTTTTGACCGACAGACAGACAAACGGACAACAAAGTGATTCTAGAAGGGTATTGTTTCCTTTTGAGGTACGGCACTCTATAAATAGGTTGAGAGGTTGAAAGCCTTAAAACATTGACATTCATAATATGAGTACAGAAAGGGCAACTAAATGTTTAGTTTTATTTTTAGGTAGAAAATGAATATGGCAGTTACGGCAAGGACATGACCTACAAAATACAAGTTCGTGACATGTTACACGAACATGTTGGCGATAAAGCAATACTGTTTACCACAGACGGTGCTCCGCGCAGCATGTTCACAGCAGGCGCTATCCCTAACACTCTAACTACTATAGATTTCAACGCCGGCGCAAGTGAGTATAGTTGTTTTTACTTTCCAAATTGTATAGATAGGATTCGGATGGTTCTCGAGAAAAAGACAAGCTACTATAATATAAAATACATACTTAACTTCTTACTCCAAATTAAAAACACACGCATACACATACACACACACGCACGCACACACACGTCCGCACAAAAATATTGTTAACATCCTATTTCTGTGTGTTCGATTCGTGTTTCGGATTATTAAAAACGATATTGTGCTCCCAAACTGTATTAAAATATTACTTTGATTATTCAAGCTTATTTAGACCACCGTGTACATGTAACATGTATACATACATATATGTATGTATGTATACACACGCTAACACTTTAAAATCGTTAGTTGTGACCAATTTTACCAATATTGCGTTTATTTATTCATAGATGTAAAGAACGCGTTCGACACGCTGCGCAGGTTCATGAATCACGGACCGATGATGAACTCGGAGTACTACACAGGATGGCTGACGCACTGGGGTGAACGATTCCAAACCACCAGTGCAGATATCCTCGTACGCACTCTAGAAACAATGCTTGACTACGGCGCCAATGTTAATTTTTATATGTTCTTCGGAGGCTCCAATTTTGGATATACTTCAGGTATGATATAGGATATTTTAATTTATGGATGTATGGGTTCCTTGTAATATGTTTTATAAAATAATGACTGCTTTTATCTGTCAATAAAATATTTCCGATGATGGACATCTAGCACCCCTCGCTTTTTTACGATAAAATGTTTTTTTTCTTAATAACTTTTTTAACTTGTTTAAAATTATTTTCTGCTTTTTGGTTCGGCTAGTTTCTTTCTCCGAGCATTTTCCCAAGCCGGGTTGTGGTCGTCTTGAAGTCCACAATCCAAGTACTAGGCGATATAGAACTTCTGAAGAAAGACTATTGTTGGATTTGTCAGAAAGATGTGAAACGATTGCCACAGATGTTCGTATGGCAACCCGGACAGACGGCTTAAAGTGCTCTTCGAGGCACGGAGGGGTCTCAATGTGTTAAGGAATGGTCACCCATCCACAGACTAACCTGGATAGGATTGCTTATAACCGCACTTTACACACTTATAACGAAGATGCGAAAAAAACCAGCACACTATCATCAACAGCGTTTAATAGTCCACTGCTGGACATAAGCCTCTCCTGAGAAAGGAGGTTTTGGCCTACTATACCACGCTGGCCAGACGGGTTGGTATAGGGTTTGTGTCAAGTTTTCCTTCTCTCTGCAGTGCTGTTGTCCTGCGTAGTTTTTTCCCTTAGTCGGCTCTTACGACACCCACGGGATGAATAGGGGTGGTGACACTCTGTATTCTTAATCCGTCACCACACGGATTTCTTGATATTTATTCCTGTTAGAAAATAATATTGTCTAGTACATGCACACATTCTTATCAGTCCGAGAATAACTTTTCGAATTAGAGGTAACTACTACAAATAATGTTGAAATATCTGACCTTCAGATTTTTAAGGTAAAAAAAATGGCCTGATAGGCATTTTCGTCCAAAAATCTTTGTTATGTCATATACCAAACAGTGATTTGCCAAATATTTCTGTTCTAAAATATAAATGATATATTTACAGGAGCAAACTACGATGGTACTTATTTGCCGGATCTTACATCCTACGACTACGATTCCCCGCTGACCGAAGCCGGGGACCCCACACCTAAATTTTTTATGATACGTGACAAATTGAAAAAGGTAGTTTGTTTAATTACAACGCACATTTAAAAGCCTATCATATTTATCAGAATTGCATCAACTTTGATTCATGTACCTAAGTCTTTTTCATCAAAAGATTCTATCAGACCACTGAGCAATGATTTTAATAGAAATTATTGATTATCTTACAATCATAATGACTTTCAAAATGCTTCGTGATACAACGCGTCACTTGTCTCAGACTATGTACTTACTTGCCAGCTTGAACGTGATATGTAACAACACGTATAATGTTACTGCGGCTATAATCCACTTGCAATTTGCATGTTATTAAAAGTTAGTTATCATTATTTATAAATATATATAATAACATTCCAGAACATATTACCTACAGTGTCCCGTTGGTTTAAAAGTGAATAAAAAAATATAAACATTGTCTTTGTAATTTTCAGTACAACTTAGTAGATGAGAGCTTCAGTCCGATAGAGCCAAGTCCGAAGGGAGATTACGGACCTGTCAATGTTACTTTTAAAGTCAGTCTTTTGAGTGAGGAAGGGCGTGCCTCGTTAGGCAAGAAATATGGTGACGTATCAGGCCCTACGTTACCTACGTTCGAGAAGTTGCGTCAAAAAGGCGGTTTAATGTTATATGAGACTACATTGATGGAATCATCTGGATTACTAGAAATACACAAACCACGAGACTTGGTATTAGTTTTCGTTGATGGCGTACGTATTTTTTAATTATTACATAAACTTCTCTTACAAAACATCTGATTTAAGTCTTGCAATTGTTTCGTTATGATGTTCAATCGTTTTTACTCCTGTTTAACTTGTACTGTGAGGCACTTTGTTCTGGATCCAAATAGGGTCCTCATTTCGAGAACTCAATTATTCTTTTATAAAAACCTCTTTTTTAATCCTAAAATTAAAAAAAATAAGCTGGAGCAGAATCGGTCAAGATGTGTTGGTTGCCTATAAATAAAATAGTAAATGATCTCTTTTTATTTTATCGCAAAGATCGCGAGACTAGAAGCAAAATATTTTGTTCAACACTTTTCTCAGGTTCATAACCTTGTATTACATTAGAAGTACAAACCGGTAATTTCAGTTGTCATCACTGATCTATCGAAGAGCCATGCTTTGTCACGAATGAGTCGGCTCGACTGGAATGATTTTATTTTATTTTATGGTATGTGATTACCAGGGGCCCAACTAGACCGAGTCAATCTATCTCTTCACTAAAAGGGAAGCGACGCATTTGTGTCTTGAGCTGAGGGGTCACCATGGGCGACGGTAGTTAGGTGTTACCATCAAGTGAGACCCATATGCTTCTTTTGCAATACTAAAATAAATACATATACTTTGAAATCTGTTTCTTTGCCAGAAAGCAAAAGTAACGGTCCGAACCGAACAGTCACAAATTATGCAATGTGCAGTATGTCCCATTCATTACTGTTCTTTTTTGCCTAAAAACCTAAATTATTGACAGGTATACCAAGGTAACATCAGTAGGATGCGTAAGATCTACAGTTTACCGATTACTTCAAAGTCTGGTTCAGTATTATCTTTACTCGTTGAAAATCAAGGGAGAATCAATTATGGAAATCAATTGCACGACTTCAAGGTAAGCGTATATGTATAAACTCTTATATGTACGTATATATCTTATTGTTAAAATAAAATGCTATCTTACAAACTTCGTTTCACATTACATCACATCACATCAACAGCCTTTACTAGTCCACTGCTGGACATGGGCCTCTCCTTAGAAAGGAGGTTTCTTTGTTTGATGCTCATAAATGAAAATGTTGGTTCATGGTGGTAACATGTCTGCTCGTTAGCCCCTCTATACCATAAAAAAAACGAATGTATCCTTAGCAAATAGCTTTGGGCGAGATGACATCTATGGAATAGCAACCGATCGGCCGATATTCCAGTTGGACCATCAATATAACATTATTCCATTATTTCCTTCCTTCGACAACCTGCCTGGTACAATACAAAAATTCTTACGTGAATTCTTTTATGGTTAAATAAATCTCAATTTTTATAGGGTTAAAACTACGTATTTAGAACACACGTGACTAATTAATTTTGTAACTTACATTACAGGGTATTTTGAGTCCAGTAAAATACAACAAAAATATCATAAACGGCACTTGGACAGTGACTGGATATCCACTGGAAGTATTTAACTTAGCTCAAGTAAGCCAAGTTACTGCCCCCACATATCCTTCTATTTTTGAGGGTCGGTTTTCGATCCCATCAAGTAGTACACCACTGGATACATTCATCGACACGACTGGCTGGGGAAAGGTTTGTATGTTATTACTTGTAAGCCACCCTATTTCCACTAAAGTCCCCCGGTAGTTTTAAATTCAATTCTAAATCAACGTAGTTTAAAAAACAGCGATTTTGAATGGAAAATTTATGATTGCAAGCAAAACTTTTATTTGCGAATCATACATTTTATCGTTCTTGTAGTATAGTATATTCCTATTCTGATCTCGAAGGCTGTAATGAAAAATTAATAATGGATTTAATTTATAATATATGTATATATATAAAAGAAAGTCGTATTAGTTACACTATTTATAACCCAAGAACGGCTTAACCGATTTGGCTGAAAATTGGAGGAGAGATAGCCCTGTGGCGCCATCAATCCCCAATCACCTTGCATAGTCAACGGAAAGTGTTCCAAACGATATCCACGGAAATTAAGGGCGGAGATCGTCACTGCCAACGATGGTTATCCACTGTATCCGCGTTGATTACCCGATGATATCGTGGTCGACAACAGTTGGATTGTTCCATATTCGGTTCTTATTTCCAAAACGTTTAAGACACATTGTAACGTTGAGTTTCAATGCAATCCAGTAAAGTCCATATAATACATCTGCAAATATGTCACGAAAGGGAGCGATATGGCGGTTTTTGGCATCCAAACCTCCAATACCAAAGGATGAAATTGCGCGCTATCAAGTGGTCGGTATGTAAACTGCAATGAAGCGACGGACTACTACGGAAGCAAGGCGATGTGGTTCCTGGTTATCCAGATGTGCGTTCTACTGATGCTCTTGGTCGTATCAATACAGTTCATCCAAAGAATGACGAATGCTTCTATTTGCGATTTTTGCTGGTAAATGTGCGTGGGTAACGTCATTTGAGTCACTACGGACTGTTAATGGTATAATATTCCCAACGTATCGTGCTGCATGTGAAGAACTCAATTTACTAGAAAACGATACCCATTGGATACAACAATCGTTGAAGCAATTATCTCTGCATGTCCAAGTTAGATACGCACATTATTTGCTATCATCATTTCGACATGCTTCATTCGTTTCATGACCCATCTAACCTGTGGCACAAATACAAGGATAATATGTCAGAAAACATTTTACATCAAATTCGTGTCAGTTCAAGAAATCCCGATCTTGAGATGAATGAAGAAGTACATAATCGAGATTTGCTCTTGATCGAATACATGTGCGGTAGTTTATTAGTCAGGTTAGGAAAATCGTTAAATGAATGACGCATTTAATTGAGAATTGGAACGGGAATATGATATATTGAATATGATAGATTTAGTAGTTCAAACGAATGTACCCCTGTTGAATCCCTAACAAAAGGAGGTTTATGATACATTAATGAAGGCAATTGATGATGGAAATGGTGTTTTATATTTCCTGGATGCCCCTTGTGGACCTGGTAAGATTATGTCAGTCGTTTTAGCCACTGTTCGTGAGAGATCCAACATTGCGGTTGTAGTTGCTTCTTCTGAAATAGCAGACACATCGTTAGAAGGATGGGGCTTATTCAGCATTAAAATTAATGTTAAATCTTCAAACTATTGAAGAACCAACATGTAATATTGCAAAAAATATTGTTTTATCAGCATCGAAAAACATCATCTGGGACGAATACACAATGGCATATAAATGTGCATTGAAAGCACTTAACCGAACATTGAAAGATATACGCAATGACTCAAGATGTTTTGGAGGCGCAACGATTTTACTGTCTGGCGATTTTCGTCAAACACTGCCAGTAGTTCCAAGATCAACTGCTGCCGACGAAATAAACGCTTGCCTCAAATCATCGAATCTATGGCGCTATGTGAAAAAACTTCAGCTGACAACAAATATGAGAGTTGCATTGCTGAACGATACATCTCCTGTAGATTTCTCTGAGCAATTTCTCACTATGGGTAATGGTCGAGTACCTGTCGACGAATCGGCGGATTCGCGGATTGATTTCATTTCCTCCGAATTTCTGTAACTTTGTCTCGAAAGACGAACTCATAAACAAAGTATTCCCAAACATCATTACTAACCACAAAGATAATTAATGGTTGAGTGAGCGAGCAATTTTGGCGGCTAAGAACAAAGATGTAGATGGTTTAAACTACATGATTCAGAATGAGATCATTGGTACACTGCATTCATTCAAATCTATTGACTGTGTGACCAATTGAATTTTTAAACTCCTTAGATGTGCCTGGCTTACCACGCACAATTTACGACTAAAGGTTGGCTGGCAAAAACTGTGCAACGGAACGTGTTTGGTGATAAGTAAATTGATGAACAATGTGATTTACGCCACGATACTCAAAGGAAAATTCGAAGGTGAGGAAGTTCTCATTCCGAGGATCCCAATGATCGCAGCCAATATGCCGTTTCAGTTTAAACGACTTCAATTTCCGATCCGTCTTGCATTCGCTATGACCATTAACAAATCACAATGCCAATCCTTTAAAGTTTGTGGTCTGAATCTAGAAAATCCACGTTTTTTCCATGGCCAATTATATGTGGCATGATCACGGGTCGGAAGACCATCTGCGTTATTTGTTTTTGCGCCTGATAATGAAACGAAAAATGTCGTCTATCATAAGGTGCTTCACTGAAGAGTGCAACCCATGCACCAAAATACATGGCCAATAAAGAATAATTAAAATACTTGACTTTTAAGTGTCTTCTTAAAAGTCAAGTAGTAGTAGTAGTAGTTTATGACTCCTGATTTGCAGACGATCATGGGCGGCGATGGTCACTTTCCATCAGGTGACCCGTCAGCTCGTCTGCCGCCTCTGACATAAAAAAAACTTGTTTTTCTTTTTTTAATTTATTATCCTAATAAAATATTAAAAATATATCTATTGGCTAAAGAAATCTCTAAATATATTTTATTTAAACAGTCAGATTCAAATGTTGCATTTATATACATCAGAAATATTGCGTTATCACTATCACCTGTTAATTCATATTAACGTAAGATAATGCAATAGGCGGTCCAGATCAGACCTTACCAATAGTTACCCATAGAACCTTAACGAAATTAGAGTTCCTTATGTTTTTCTAAATGTAAAATTAATTTTATTTAAATGACTCTTTGAAAAAATCGGGTCGTGTCTTCACACGTTAAAATTGGGTCGTTATAACAGTAAGAGAATACTGGACTTCATTTTTAAGTTCGTCGAACAAAAATCATTTTTTTATCACTGATTCTCCATCCAGTGATGTTGCCTGCCTTCCATTATTTCATGTCTAGTCAATAAATACTCCCTATAGACGTCTCTACTGCCCGATGAGTGACTTGAACAAATTTTATGAGGTCTATAGTTACTAATGAAAATGTAAATTTTGTACAAGTATTAAGTAATTAATAATGCACCATCTTCATCGTTCATTTTGAATAAACGTTAAACTGAAACTATTTTCCACAGGGCTTCATTTGGGTGAATGGTAGAAACTTGGGAAGATACTGGCCTAGTGTAGGGCCTCAAGTGACTCTGTACATACCTGGAGTGTGGCTAAAGACAGGACAAGAAGAAAACCATATTCAAATTTTAGAACTTTTCAAACCGGCGGATTCGCTCACTATGACATTCATCGACCATCCAATTCTAAATAGAACTGGAAGTATTAATCTAGCCTAAATTGAATTGGTAACATCCAAAATGTATATTTTTTTTTATAAATAAACACTTTTAAGATTTGTATTTTCATTTATTTGTCTCTTGACAAATGTGTAATGTATTAAGAACCGAGCGAGAGAATAGTCTCTTTTGCAAGTCTGGTCAGTTTGACTTTTTTTGTCCTGAATTTTTTTACAACACATACATATTTTATTTGACATCTCTTCTTAGAGTTTGGTGTTGTTAAAGGGTCAACATTTATAGATAAATATATTGAACATCAGTCATTGTTAGAACAATGAAATAGGTCAAAGAAACGTAAGGAGGTGCGCGATTACAGGTGGATTTTGATAATCTTAATAAATGGTACCACGACTCAGGACTTGTCTTGAACTCCAGTAAAACTAAACGCCTTGTTATAAAATCCCCATACATCAAAACTACACAAGTGACAAATTTAGTATACGTAGATAGCAAATTTAATTGGTAGGTTCTCATAGAATATGTCTGCAACAAGTTAGGGCATTTCTTGGCCAACATGATCATAATAAAAAATCGAATCCCTTTTAAAGTTAAATTAATGCTATACAATTCATTAGCACAATCTTACATACCTACTATATGGTCTTAGTTCCTATGGACGTACAATGCAAAATACAAACTCCAAGTGAGAATCCTGAAAAATATAGTTCCCAAAAATATTCGAAACCAGTACAACGATGACATTATCAGACATTTAGACATTAAAAAAATACTATTTTTGCACGGAAATTAAAGAAGAAACACTACATACACGCGTGCGGTCGCCCGAAACCAGTTATGCACAAAGCGCGCTAACAATATGTACGGCGAAAGAACGGTATGCTGCCGTTCTTTCCTCGTTTGATTAACAAACTACCCACTGACTTACGTGCCAACCTCAACCGTTTAATATTAAAAACAAACTAAGTCTTATTTTCTAAATGAACAACGCAACCACAGGTAAATGTATTTGTCTACCCTCGTATGCTAAGCTATCTTAGGTAGTATTCCTTTTTTTTGCCCCGAATGTTTTTATTTATAAACTTCTTTTGTATAAAATATCGAAATCATAAAATACAAAATATTTTGTACAAGTCTCACTTAAACACTTTATGTATTGACTGTTTTCTGCACACGAACTCTCCTATTACTGTGTACGTATCTCTTAATCTGTGTGTTCTACTGTGTCTGTACCTACTAAAAAAATTAATGGTTTTACAGTACCAAAAACTAATAAAGTTATGTTGCATCTACATCGTTTAAGTGTTAAATAAATCAAATAAAAAGTTAGGATTGCTCCTCCAAGCTATCCGAAAAAAACTTCGCCAAAAAATAAACAAACCAAAAAGTTGTCAAAGTAGAAGTTATAAAGGTATTAGGTTGGCCACTTGAACGGTACGAGTGGAATGGTGTGGCCATTGTGGAAAAAAGAATTATAAGCTCTATTTCAATATTTTACGAAATACACCTTAAAAGTAATGTTCGAGCAGGCTAACCATAATTTAGATTTGATTTGGGAATACCTCTAACTGGAGACTATTAACTATATTTTATAATATCTAACTCAAACTGCAAAATGTATTAATAAAAAAAAACTTGTGTTTCAATAATTAAATATGTTTATTCATCACAGACATACACCAAATTGTCGATACCTTTTTTGCCATATAAATTTCATTCATTATTGTCTCCAGTTTCTCCAAAGAGATCTCTTTGAATGGTTTGATTGATGGTGATCACCAATTCAAACCAACACTTGGATGCAAGCGCCCCTATAATACTGACCATTTAATTCTGGCTTAACCAAAAACCTAATTCTCTTTAGAGACAGCGAGCGGAGCCAGGCCGTACAATCAGCAGTGTACGGGCTTGTCTCTCAAGATCATTTTTTCGATCTGAGTCCTTATAAGAGCCAGTAGCTTTAGATGACCTCAGACCTATCACGTCACTTATTGCCCTTTATATAATACTAGCTGACCCGCGCAACTTCGTCTGCGTCTCTCAATAGTAATAAATTTTCTCCGTTTTTGAAACATTCTTCATTGGTGCTCCGCTCCTATTGGTCTTAGCGTGATGATATATAGCCTATAGCCTTCCTCGATAAATGGGCTATGTAACACTGAAAGAATTTTTCAAATCGGACCAGTAGTTCCTGAGATTAGCGCGTTCAAACAAACAAACAAACTCTTCAGCTTTATAATATTAGTATAGATATCTCACACATCTCACACACGGCCGTCTGATTCTAAACTAGGCAGAGCCTGTACTATGGTAACCAGACTGCTGATAAACATACTTATATATTTACATACTTATACTTTGATATAGAACTTTTTTCAGGCGGCCAAAAACCGGTCCTGCAATGCTTGTTTCATATTGGACTAGGTTCATTTAGTTGGCTAATGACTAATATACCTCTGTTTTTCTTTGGTAGACAGATATTTAGGCTTTTTTTTGTATCTAAAAACTCAACTTCTTAAGATTTATCTATTATGCATGAAAACATACTTGTTCACGCCAAATTTCATTATAGCTGTAGTAAACTTCGAAAATTCTAGTTATTGCAAATGAATAGGAGCAAAAGCAAATTAGCTTACGGACGAGATTTCTCGTCGAGAACTCATTAGTATATAACATTTGATTCTACACTGCCAAGCGTGTACTGCAGAATGCACTCCAGCTACTCGACATACTGACTGCGACTGCCGCGCAGTAGAGAATAGAGTGTGTAACAACTTCAAAAATTTTAGCATTAGGTCACATGGAGTTTATATTGACGTCAAATCCGTTATACCTATATTTCTTTTCGCGGACACGGCGCTTATGAGTAGTAACAAGGCACAGTTGATGACACGTGCTCGAAGACTACGCGTCGACGAAATCTCACCAGACTTCGATTCGGACCGTGGTACGTGCGCCAAGGCTTTACTTTCCATAGTCGCATAGTTCCATAGAGTCAATCCTCTTACGTAAACAGTACCACTACTGATCCGTGTCACGTTCACGTCCATCGCTATCAATTTAGTCATTCTACATATTGGTTTGATAGGCAATCTTGATTTGACGATAACAAATTTCAAGCGGATAAGTAATCAATGTTATTTAATCATTGGAAACTATCTCTAATTAACGGAAACAACTTATTATATAAAGACGTAATGCCGCCTGTCATGTCGACGATAATAAAGCAGTTATCGTATTGACTTTGATATTAGTGTACACTCAGTACGATCATCCGGTTGATAATTGTAATTGTTTTTACCATTTTAACTTTAATATTAATTGAATTTTATGTGTTATAATTTATGTACATAATATGTGTGCCATTACTGTATTATAATATTTTTTGGTAACTTTGATCGCTCGAAGTTTTCGGCAATTTTGTTGAAAATAAAATATTCCCATTTAATATTTTTTATACACATTTACTTTTTTTTAGTTTAAGCGTAATAATATATGTTGGTTGTAACATAATAAAGACGAACATACACATGAACAAATTGAAATACAGAGTAACTACACAAGTATAAAGGTCCTAAAAATGGATGATTAAACAATTCAATGCCTGTTATTTTTATATTTATCAGAATTTTATAATTATGCTTTAGGTATATCTGTTACTTGTATATCATAATTAATTTTCCATGACGAATCTCCAAACATTTTACTCAATTATTTTATAATTTCATTTTTAGTGGTTTATATTTATTTAAGAAATAAATTTTTAAAACTATATACAGTATAAACTTTAAAAATAGTACCTTTTCTATGTTTTCCTACATCGCAACAGCACATGACAAGGTCTTGTAACACAGTAAGTGAACATGAGATTCATATTAGTAACAACAATTTCTAACGTACATACATTACTTATCCACCACATCCATTTACATAAATGAATATTAAGAAGACAAAAATGATACATAACAGTGAGTGATACATAAGCAAGTTATAGATTGTATGTTTTGTAAGTTGAAATATTCAATATGATAGCGATTTTTCGCAGATGATATTTTTCTGAATTTCGGCTCTACGACTACCTCCACGTTTAATTACATTTAAATAAATATAACTTCATGTTCTTTATTCCACATAGCTCTAAACTATTGAGAGTAGAGGCAAGTAGAACCATCTCAGTGTATGAAAATTGTTCATAAAAACGAGTCCAATTAGGGTGGCGATGCGGTAGCCTTCGATAAATTTATATTAGCTTAGTTATTCAATAATTAGACACTGTGTACTAGACTGCGAAAATAGTCAATGAGTTTTACAGACAATATATAAACGTGTAATAACTTTTGGACGGTAAAAGTGTTATAATATTTTCACACAGCATACTTCACTCTATCTACAACAGCTATGTTCGTATCGTAGCTTTTCGTACACCAGCGACCTCCTTCAGTATATAGCTGCACACTTTTTTAAACTTCCCCCCATATGAGATGGTTCTCTTTGTCGAACGAACGAATGTCATTGACTTGCAAATATATGAGAACCACACCCCAAGAAAAAAACTTCTAGTAATTATAATGTATTACAATTTCTTGAGTATAACCTTAATTAAATAATACTTGTAACTTAATCATAATTTCGATTCCTCGCCGGGCAGTACATCATTTATCCTCTTAGGGTCGCTAGAGTTCTCAACATGAACTTCTGCAAATGCTGATGTGCTATTGATTCCTACAGGTACATCTAGATTATGCCTGGGTTTAGAACGTGTCTTACGAACATTTTTTTGAACAGCCCGGTCCAGATAGCTTTCTCGACGTGGTGGTAAATTAATTCCAACCTGTTGAATCAACTTTCGCTGACAGTCAGACAATTTGTCACGTATGACATCTAAATATTCATTTGCTATTATATCTGCCCCAGGTTCATCCAATAGGAGAAGACAAAGTCTGTGGGCTTGCTCCAAATAAATAATTGCTTGTTTAATAGCCTCAAATCGTTCACTTGTTCGAGCGATAGCTACAAAGTGTGCCACAAAGAAATCAAGGACTAGGCGTCGGCGTACAGATTCCATCTTTGCGGGTAGTGTTATCTGCAAAAAAAACAACAATTAGTAATCAGGTAATCATACACTTACGGAGAAATCATAATTATAAACTTATCGGTACAAGAAATCATTTTTATACCTATTTATATTTAAAATAAGCACTTATTTTCCTATTTTGGATTTTTCAATCTTAACTTGAAGATAAGAATTTAGATGTTGTTGCCTTCTGCGTGCAAAACAATCAAATATAGGAAGGACGCTTTACAACAACTTAGGATTTAAATTTGCGGCTAAAAATAATGAACGTTTTGTGTAAAGTTGACGCTTTTATAAGGAACCGAATTAAAAAAGTAGAAAATATCTTTTAAGTATGGAGAGTTTATTCTACAGGCATACAATTAGGCTTTTTTTAAATTAAATTTAATTATATTAATTGAAAAGAGAATGGATTTTATTGTTCACCCGTAACGGTAGATTCATATCAGTTAGATTTGAAACTAGCATTGTTCACTACTTTCTATTCTTTAAAAACAATTTAACAGCTAGCAAAAATTCGAATCGCTGTAGTAACTTACAGTTCTATTAATTTCTCTTTCCTGTTTATTTGATGACTTTTGTCTCTTGGCATGCATTTGTTCCTTCCTTCTTTCTTGTATCTGTCGTTGTCTTTCTTTTTTCCACTGGTAATGTTTATCTACTGCTTTTTCTTTATCCCATAAATTTTTCTTTGTTTCAGTATCACTCTCTGAACTACTTTGATAATTTGTAACAGTAGATGGAATGTTTGGATTAATAATACGCAAGGGATTTTTACATGTTAAAATATGGTAAAGTCTTTGACTGTTGAATGGTGGGTAAAAATCTCTTTTTGTATATTTTATTTTATCAAGGGCACCGAGCAAATGCATGACAGGTGCCTCGAGAATATCCGCTATTCTTCGTTGTGCTTTAATGAGAATTGGTTTCGGAATGCCTTTAAAGTCGTTGCAATTCTCCATGAAATAGTTGGGCATCCTAGATTGTGCAAAATGAACATAAAAACTACGTAGAAACAACCTTAATGACTCTCCTAACCTGTCTTCAGGCCATTTTGCGTAATTATCTTCGCACTGCCAAAATAAGTGATTTTTGATGTGACTAGTGTCAATTCCAATTTTGGCAGTCTCATTTTCTATGAAAGTTTTATATAACGCTAATGTAAACAAATAGCAACGTATGTGGGAGTGTGCTAAGCAACTTTCAAGGTAGCGCTCTGCTGCTGGATATATAAGTTTCCACTGTAATGTTTGATCTGGATTTATTCCTCTTTTTGGCCTAAAGCCAATAGGTATCAAAAGACATCCGGCCCCAACAGCTTTATTAACCATGTACTTTGTAGGCCACTGGTATGTAAAGTTTGTTCTAGGATTCTGTATTATTTTTCTTTCACGAATAATCCATTGGTTTGCTGCATTAGGCCAAGTAGCTACAAGAGCGGGAAATACTTCATAACTCATTTTAGTACCACTTTTTGGAGTGTCACAGTATATACTAGCGCCTTGGGTTGACGCTGAATGTATTTGATCATGAGATAGACCCAGTCCGGATCCTAGGTTAACTATAAAGTTGTCAACGAAATTGTTCATAAATCTTACGGAATTTAAATAAAATACTCTTTCAAATAGATTTCGCGGCAACGATGATTTAGATGCGCCATCGTCAATTTCCTCATCTTCTTCATCACTCCAGTAATTCAAGGATTTTACCTCAATGGGTGTCCAAATCTCTTCAGGCAGTACGCCTGACGTAACAGAACTATTTACACTAAGTTCAACTTTTTTCGGTGTAGCAGACGCGGTTAAAGTAGTATACCCGTAATCTGAATCTGTTTCACTGAACTCTGTATGTCTACTGCTGGAATTCGATCTATAACCCGAAGTTTCAGTATCATCACCTAAGTTGGCCTCTGAAGAAGCTCTTTGTAAATCTATGCTAAACCTTTTATTGTTTACAGGGCCACTCAATCTTCTTGTATTTTTTAAAATTGACTTTCTCGGCGCCATTGAATAATGATCATTTATAGATACTGCACTATTATTATGTTCTATTCTTGAGTCCTCTTCTAGTAGCATAATATTTTCATTTTTTAATTTAGAGATGTTTGAAATATTATTTTGTGTTTCTTGTAGATTCGTTTGTTTTATTGGCCCGCTGTATCTTCGACCACTGGTTACATTTATTTCCATGTTAATATTAGCATCTCTTTTTGCATCTGGTTCCAAATTATTTAATTTTGTTTTGATTTGTTGTAACAGCTCTCTCCCTTTGCTAGTATTGTAAGGAAGTTCATCTGACCCATCAATAGACTCTTTCTCAGAATCAGTATACAAACTATCATCGGAATCATCTTTCTTTGGAGGAACTGTTTCAGTTTCTTTAAGTAAAGTGCTTTCCAAAACCTCTATTTTCTTCAATCTTACATAACCTTGAACAAAAGTTATGGTATTATAGTAAAAAAGCGGACAGCCTCATAAGAAATTAATATTCAAAACATAAGAAAGTGCTTTATTCTGTGGGAAGGGGCTCTCAAATGGATCCAAAGCACTTGTATCTATTAAGTTGCATGTTTGCATGGGGGGTGACAGTCACTTACTATCAGGTCTGACCGTTTCTCCCTATGCCATAAAAAAAAATATGAAAATTTATTTTCTCAAGTATCTACAAAAATTTTAGACGATGGAAGTAATATTTACAATGGGAAATTAAAGGCTAAAAATTATTTAATGACGCATACCTGGTTCTTTGCCATCTTCAATTTGCAATTTATAGAAAGGAGCGTCTAGAACAGCGCTGTAGTCCGAAGTATCTCCGGGTTCGCTGGCTTCTACATTATCATAAATAACATAAAGCCTAGGTGCTGATAAAGGTTCGGTTTGACCTTTGCTTCTTTGGTAGTAGACATGTTCATGTACGCTCTCTTGCAAACGATCTGCGAAGAAAACGTGCTTGTTTTCTCGCACCATTGCTTCATTTATTGAATTATCTCGTTCACTTATAGGATTATTTTGAATTTGATGTGCTTCTCTGAAAGTAAAAAACAGTTCTTTTTAGTTTTTTAAAGTAATAACTTAAGTAATAACACTTTTCTTATAAAGATTATTTAAGTCCTCAAACACAATCATTGGTAATTTGGAACAATTCACATACATTTATGAATTTTTATCGTTTAATGTCCTCTCTAGACGCTTATCTCTCAATCGTTTTATCGTGCTACTTAAAAATAACCTAAATTTTGAACGCGATAAAGAGGGCTACTCAAATACCCTTTTTCTAGAGAAAATAGACGATAATGTTTTTATTCGTATGGAGACCTCCGTGTACGACTCCGCTGAGAACATGTTAAATTACCTTTTTCAGAAACTAAGCTACTAATATTACTCTATCGATTTCCGGCGGTGTGCAAGGAGGACGTTGAATAATCCACAAAACCCCAACAGGTCTCGCGACCACTTCTAGCGACTTTGCTAGAGACGACTGCTCTATCCTACCCTTCGAGATGCGCTCGCTAGTCTCAACAATGCCGAATACCTTTTCGAGAAACGCTTATATGATTCAACCACATCACCGTTCCCTATCGCGAAGTGTTCTCTATTTTTTCAACCGCAGTTCTTATTCTAACAAAATAAACGGCTGACGTGGTGTTTCAAACACGAGCAAACCTAAAAAAAATCTTCGTTATAGTTCTAAAAACCGACTATATCATGACTTATAAATTTCAGTCTTTACCAGACCCACTTTAAAAAAAAACCCATTCCTAAATTTCTTGGATTGTCGAAAACTTAATAAATTAATGTGAGTGTGTAACAAAATTCACCACAAATATAATAAATTTAAAATTAAACCATAACAGTATTATTACCTTTAAAGTTTATTAGGAATAGTGACTAACCATATGCCTGGAATTATAAAAACATACATGTATGTATGCAAATCAGTATCTACATAAGTATGTATATGAATTATCAATTTTTATTATTAGTTTGTAAATATACATATATATTTGTAAATGTTATTGTATATATTATATATAATTATATAGTATATATAATTTGTAATATATATATATATTTGTTGTAATATATTTGTAAATATATATATATCATCATCATCATCATCATCAGCCTATCGCAGTCCACTGCTGGACATAGACCTCTCCCATTGCACGCCACTTAGATCGATTTTGGGCTTCTCGCATCCAGCTCCTGCCAGCCATCATGCGCAAATCGTTACTCCACCTGGCCTGTGGGCGTCCTACACTACGTTTGCCGAGACGCGGTCTCCACTCAAGAACTCGTTTTCCCCAACAGTTGTCGGTTCTGCGGCTAATATGGCCAACCCACTGCCACTTCAGCTTGCTGATCCGATAGGCTATATCGGTGACCTTGGTTCTCTGCCGGATCACCTCATTCCTGATGCGATCCCTTAGAGAAATACCGAGCATAGCCCTTTCCATAGCACGTTGAACGACTTTGAACTTGTGGACCAGCCGTACCGTAAGTGTCCACGTTTCGGCTCCGTATGTCATGACGGGTAGGAAGCACTCATTAAAGACTTATCATTCTTAAGGCACTATGAGATCGACGATGAGAAGACTCGACGTAGCTTCCCAAACGCTGCCCAACCCAACTGAATTCTTCTGTTCACCTCGTCCTCAAAGTTGTTTTTACCTAACTGCAATGACTGCCCGAGGTACACATAATTTTGAACAACTTCGAGAACGGCACAGTGTACCGCAATCGGTTCCGGTAGTACATGTTCTTTGAACATGACCTTGGTTTTATCCAAGTTCATCCGTAGGCCGATGCGTAGAGAAGAGTCAGCTAGGTCATTCAGCATCTGCTGTAGGTTCTGCAACGTCTCTGCCATGATGACGATGTCGTCTGCAAATCGCAAGTGTGAGATGTATTCGCCATTGATATTGAGGCCACGCCCTTTCCAGTGCAGCGTCTTGAACATGTCCTCCATTGCATTTGTGAACAATTTCGGGGAAGAAACGTCCCCTTGTCTCACTCCTCGGTGTAATGGTACGGGCCTTGCTGATTCTGTACTTGGACGGTCATGGTGGCGGCTTCGTAGAGACATTTCATCACTTGGATGTATCGCTAATCTACTTGGCAACGTTGCAGGGACTCCAAAACAGATTAGATCTCGATATATATATATAATATATATAGCAAAGGAATTTCCCTTGCTATATACATACTAACTTAAACATGATAAGCAAGTAATAAAATGCTATGAGCTTAAAAGAGATTGTGGAGAAGGGCACGTCACATTTAGACAGCAATAACTATGTATTTAAAAAGTATTTTTGTCAACATATTTGAGCGATTTTCATCAATAATGATAATGGTCTAAGTTGCATAGAATCAAATTAAAAAACTTTGAAAAAAATTAATGCCATCGTCCAGTAGTCGCATTTCTGATTGAGTTTCCTAGTTTCTTTTTTTTTTAATTGAAGAGTTTGTGAAAAAATTTCATCTTGGGGAAACAAAAACTAATGGTCGATTCAGCTTGTAAGTCAAATTAAGTCCTCCATTCTTCAATGCCAATTTTGATAAATTCATAAAGGAGATATTGGAAGGATGATGAAGTGGCCAAAGATTTAGTACAATTATAATGTAATGCAAATAATTCTGAGGTTCATGTCATAGGTATTGAATACATTTTAAAATGGTAGGTTTATTTTATAATCATCCAAATATGCAATATTATAAAATGCCAAGATGTCGGAATATTTGGTAAATATTCAATTCGTCTTGCAAGAGGATAACAACATTCAATTACTTGATATAACCCTGATTCACTTTATTTAATTCACAGAATACATTATGTTTATACATCATTATAAAAAAAAACATATAGGTGTGCCGCATACATATTTAGACCTTGAAGGTTGATCGTTTTTCGTGATTTGGACGTTTCCTTGGCCTGCGATTATATTATTGATAAAACTACACTTACACGAATCAGATGAATTCAACATTTACCATTTACATAAATAAAAGACGGCCAAACTCAAAAAATGTATTTTATCCTCTTTTTATTTTCTAGATAGGTGTATTTGTATCTCTAATATCTAGAAATATAACAAAAATGAAAATTTTTGAACACTATCTTATGAAGCGATACCATTTATCATTGTATTAAATCAATCAGGACTACTTACTTTATTTATCATAAACATATAATTCGTTTTAATAACTGATACAAATGTACTGAAAATTGTTTATGAGCATTTTTATCGCTTATATTCAACATTCGAGATTTATATCGTATCAAAATAGATTACCATGAATCTGTATGACTGTAACTGTAATTTAAGAGATTGATATTATAAAAAAACACTTACCGTTCATAATTCTCAAAAAATTGAACAGAAAGAAGAATATTATTTAATAGAAAAGCATCCGAATCATTTTGTAGTTGCCAACGCATTCTTGCCAAGGCCTCGTCATCGTAAGAACGGACATGCGCTGGTGGTGGAGGTGTTGGGCTTGGTGCAGGTGGCGGTGCGAGAACATTCGATGTAATCGGTGCCTCTTTTAATGCAGCTCTTCGGTTTGCTTGATTTATTATCTTTTTCCTCTTATCCTCTCTTTTCTGCTCCTTCCATCTCTCTCTTTCAAAGAACTTATCGGGCTCCTTTTGAATTTTTTTCGATTTAGAATTTCCCATTGTTATTTTTTATTTGCCTGTCTGTAGTGGCAACCTATCAAAACAAACATTTAAACGCGCACATTTTTATACTTTCGAAAATAAGTGTATCTAAATAATAAAAAGAAGCAACTGAATCGATCGTTATATAAACCAATTTGTGCGGACACGAGTCCACAATCCCCGTGACAGTAACGAAGTGATTATTTGTATAAATCAGAAGGTGAAAAACTTTTCTTATCAGCTACCAATAATTGTTAGCGTAGTTATCATGTTTGATAGATTAGAGCTGCATTGTGCACGCAACATATCAATACCGCGATACTATTTGCTCTACGTTCATTTACCAGAGTATAATCAAACTCCCTATAGATTCCGTGGTTCGATAACGTGTGCCAGTGCATGCGTGTCATTGAAAACTCATACAGCGAGACAAGCAGCATTCCTTTTATTCAAGACGTGTTATTACATAAACTGAAACACGCAGAACCTCATATTCTAATTTCCAACTACTCACTCGCTTTAATGTAGTCGTATTCATGCCATATCATTTTGTAAATGTAATAAAATATTAAAATCACATTTCATTTACTTTTCTGTATAAGGTTTTAATTCTTTTGATACAACTATTTACCTTTAGATTTTTGTTGTAAATTAAATTTAAGTTATTTTTATTTATTCAGTCAACAGTAACTTCTAATTTCAATTAATAAGGTGCCGCATTAGCTATAACCGCGTCAAGTTTTATAGGTTCCAAATAAATATATTTATATTACTGACAAACAGCTGACTATTAATTTATTGCAAATTAAAATACCCTCACAATATAGAAATACATCAAGCGGAGCTTTAAAAAAATAAGTAAGGTGTCACTTACATTCAACTTCTTTACAAATATTTTTTTAGAAACAACACATCTTTCATTATTTTTGTATGTATGTGTAGATACTTACATAATATCCTAATAGTCAAACTCTTGATGTATACTAAACTCGTACGTATACGTAAACCCTAACAATAAGTATACGTAACGTAACGTAAGTGTACGTAAACTCTAGCAAGATTGCTAGAGCAAATCATAATATGAAAAAGTAAGACTCATAAGTCTATCAATTCAAATTCAAATTCGAAATATCTTTATTACACAAAAATGTTACAATTTTTTGAAATTGTCTAGACTAGACAAGACGTAGACTCTAAAGTCGTGGATCAACACACACACAATAGCAACAATCTCTGTTTCTTCAAATAGTAAGGAAAAAATGTTTTTTAATAAAAATTATGCTTATACAAAATCTATGATATGCCTGTGCCAATCGACAACCGCCCGTTTCCAAGGGATTGAGCCTTATGAGAAGAAAAGGAAAACAAACTCATGGTCTCTTTTGCAATTTACAGATGAATACAATGGCATCATGAAACATACCACATCATTGTTCCTATGTGTGCCAATTTGTCCGTTATTAAGGATTAAAAGGCAAAAAGACAATAAAGAGAAAAATAAGATTAGGAAAAAAGATAAGATAAAAGAGAAAGTGAAGTCACATCATGGGGCTGTTGATGAACAGCCCTTAATAGTCTACTGTTGGGTATACGCCTCTCCTTAGAAAGGAGGTTTTGGCCTACTATACCACGCTGGCCAGACGGGTTGGTATAGGTTTGTGTCAAGTTTTCCTTCTCTTTGCAGTGCTGTCGTCCTGCGCAGTTTGCTCCTTTAATCGGCTCTTACTTCCACCACGGGATGAATAGGGGCGGAGACACTCCGTATTCTTAAACCGTCACCACACGGATAGAGAAAGTAATAATATTAAAAAACACCCTAGCCCACATCACATTTCCACTTAAGAAATAGCCTGCGCTAAATTATTCCAGTGCATTTTTGTCTTCTATGTAATCTACAACCGAGTACTATTACTCGGTTGAGGCCTATGCCTATGCTAATGCATGCAAATAAAAAAGCCTATGCTTATTGACATAATTTACGTTTAATTGCGGATTTCAGTTTGTTTATACTTAAGTCTTGAATATCGTTTGGGATTTTATTATAAAATCGGACACATTGACAATAAAAGTAAAAACGAAATCTGATCCTTACAAGCACCTATGACACATCATCATCGTCAACAGCCTCTAGCACTCATGGGTATAGGCCTGAAAGGAATTTTGGCCTTTTCAAGTTTTCCTTCTCTTTGTAGCGCTGTTGTCCTACGTAGTTCCCCCCTTACGACACTTACGGAATAAATAGGGGTATTGACACTCCATATTCTTAATTCGTCACCACACCTGTGCCACCAATCTGCAAACAATCTATTGTTTTGTCTTTACTTGCTTTTCGTTATCTGATATAAATCATTTTAAAGTCATTTTCCCGTCGACTTGGCTAACTGTAGTAACAGATAGATTTTTAAAAGTTAATAGTTGTAGTACAAAAAATCATAATAAGCAAATATTGCAGTAGTATACTTAAGTATACTTAAGTATAAAAAGTATTTTAATATTAGATGAATAAATTCCTGTTTATAAGGGATTAATGAAGTTTATTTTCAATCTAAAACTGAAATAATTAAAATAATTTCGACATACCTGTTATGTTTTAACTTTATTACTGCGTTCTTTGCTTTGTTGTGACATTTGCCGCCGTGACCGCCGTGACGTTTGTTGTGAGATTTGCCGCCTCATTATATACGAGTATGTGCAGTATTGTCTTATTTTGTGTCATTGATGCTGCTTTCGATGACGAAGACGGAGGGATCGAGCCAAATACATTATCATCGTACGAAACGTTGTGTAGGGCGTAACTTGAAGAAAGTGGCTGCGGCCTGCCCAAGACTAAAATAGTTGGCGCTCCTTGAGGGAGATCTTCGTACGGCGATAGGCTGATGATAATGATGAAGACTAAAAGGGGAGTGGGTCAAAAAATCTTCAATATAACGTCATCTAATGAATAAACGCCCTCTGGCTAAGATATACCTACGTATTTAATAATGAATAAAACTACGTTTGTTTAAAGTTTATATTTCAATGCACTTATAAAACAATAGCACACAATGAATCTTTTTGTCGTATATTTATTTGCAGTGTAGTCAAATAAATTAACATCTAATTATTTAATAACTATAAAAGTTGACAAAATAAACATTGGGATCAAAACACGTATTATTAAAAATATAATTACAATTATATCACATCATTATATTTATACTTAAAAAAAATAGTGGGTACTAATTATACAAAAATAATGTTTTCATTATGTTTATCGTAGTAAGCTTAAATCTCATTTAATTTACCTAACTACTATGTACATGAAGTTATACTTTGGCAAATAGGACATTATGAATATGAAACTATAAAGTTAGTATATACATACATGTATATAATAGTAAAAAGTTCGTCAATTTAATATTATTGTGAAAGTTACCATATTATAAACGCAATAAGTGTTTTATGTAAATATTATATTGCGGAGTCCTTTTTGATGTTATTTTAATTTATTCGAAATATTTTAAGTAAAAGGAAACAAAACATTCCGTTCTACCCTCTCACCTCACTAAGATTCTTCTAGGTATATTGACAAAAATACATATATTATAACAAAACGGTCTATGGTATGTGACTAATGACTTCTGCAGGAGGTGCACTAAATCCTGGTTCCTCCATATTATTAGCTATGCTTGCAGCGTCATCTTCCGACATATTTACTCGTCGCTGTGTCTTCAAACGTTTCGCTTCGCCCATTTTCTTCTCTATCAAGCGCCTGTAAAACAATAAAATCACTGATAAAATGACTGAAAACACTCGGTGACGTACTGACAGAAGAACAGGGGGTCCGTAAAATCTCTAGGCTACAGCAGTCTACCAAAAACAATTGCAATTAGCAACGTACAAATCATACCCTTCTTATGAACCACAACCTCACAGGACTAGATAGAACTAGTCCACATATACTCACAGATTTTGTACCAAAGCAACAGGAAATTATTTTTATTACTAATCTTATCTTTAAAAATTTGATTCGCCATTGCAATGTTTTTTTTATGTATTGTGATAATGCCGATAATTTACCTGACTGGAACGAATTGAACGTATACTTTTGGATTAATATTGTGCCTTTCAAAACCCAATAATTGATCATAAGATATTTTCGAAAATTACCAACAAATTATTTCAAAGCCACCGGCTTATCACCTTTATGAATTGGTATTTTTTATCTTTATCAATTTGATTTGCTGTTAAGATGTTTTTTTAATGTAATTTGATGACACCGACAATTTTACATGAATGGAATAAATGGACTATTTACATTTTTTAGATGATCAATTCATCAGTGGTTTAAAGCCGAACAATTCTTTGAAGCTCTCCCCATAATACGAGCGATAGAGAATATAGAGTAATGCTACATCTTCACTCAACGCCAATGCGCCAAGCCGTTCGGCACTATTCTGGCAATTGGCGATTCGAATCGCTCTCTGGGGTGCCTTTGCACAGAGATGAGAACAGAATTCTATATGCGGCCGAACTTGCCGAACTTCAAACAGACTAGAAGGGACTATTGGTATTATAATGTTACCTATTACATTGAGGGTACTTATTATAGTTTTTTACTTAGATTTGTAATTATTTTTTTCATTTTTAGTGCTCTTTGTCGTTGTTGTTTGAAGTCGGTTCAACTTTTTTTTTAAAAGGGTTTATTTTACCATTTTTAGTGTAGGATATGTTTGTAATGAGTAGATAAGTACGATATTTAAAACACTACGTACCGTAATGTATAGTAACAAACTGTAGTTTGTTAGATTATATTAAATATTATATTAAATTACTGCTGGACATAGGCCTCTCCTTAGAAAGGAGGTTTTGGCCTACTATGTAGGACTATCGTTGTATTTATATGACTGGCAATAGAATCGATAATTACAAATTTAAAATCAGATTTTCCGTTCAAAAGATATTTTGTTTTTTAGTTTTCATATAGGTTGTTTGAAGTCGAGTTGTCATTGCTGACAAATTTACTATCAGTCATGGACGTACTATAAATCTTATAATAAAATAGGGACAAGGAGTAATACTGTATTGTTTATAAAATGTGTATAAAATAGCTTCGTATATAACCCATTTTCTATACATATAAACTTAACCAAGGACTTTTTTGTAGATCTTTGTAAGATATAACCTCAACGGGGACAATTTTGATCTACGTCAAATGCACAACGTATCTAACATATTTGATTGGATAAGGAATAAAACTATATTGTTTAAAATTGGTGTTAAGGAGTAATACTGTATTGTTTATAAAATGTGTATAAAATAGCTTCGTATATAACCCATTTTCTATACATATCAACTTAACCCAGGACTTTTTTGTAGATCTTTGTAAGATTACCGACATCACATTAAAAATCTTTTGACATTCTATTTGTTTTTTTTTCTACTATATATATACTATACTATATACTAGACTTTTTTTTTTTTTTACGTGTGGAAATCCCCTCGGACCGTCACGCCGGGATTTTCGGCGGGGCGATGTGTCGGACTCCAACCGACTAAAACCACACGGTGTACCCTCTTTGCGCTTCTAGTTTGGGGGGGTCCAGGTTGTTATCGCCTTCTGGACCCCTCCCAGCGCCGGCCCGCTCCTGGCGCGGGCTCCGTCTCAAAGGACCTCTCTATAGGCGACGTTGATAGTGGGTCGTCTTGTTCACTTCTCAAAGAGAGTTTTTGCTGTAAATTCCCTGGTACTGTGTGCAATTCTCTTGTTTACCTAACTGGAATTGGGGGTGATGATGTAAGGTGTGATACTCAAATTTTAAATGAAGTACAAGTAGGTGAAATAACTCAGACCTTACTCTTTCATGTAGTACCGGATTCTTGCCTATCAGACCCTGTCATCGTAGGTAGGGATATCTTAGAAAATGACATTGGCGTCCAAACTGATCAAGATCAGCTTAAGCTTCTAAATTCTTTTCTAAGAAACAGTCAAATTCTTGTGAGTTGCAACCGAACAAAATAACTTCCGATTCAATTGACACTGATCTCGAAGGTGAAGATAGGGAAGCTTTAGTGAGACTACTCAACAAATATGCTCAATAATTTATAGAAGGAGTTCCAACTAGAAGGGTTAATACTGGTATGTTAGAAATTAACCTAGTTGACCCACACAAAATTTAAGAGTTTTTTCCAGAACTATTTTAATAAATTAAGTATAAAATTACTTACAAACAAAATGCGATGCCATCCATAGCAACAAAACGTCAATCCGAATTATTTTAACAAGATAGAATACAATATTTCAACCTTTTCTTCTTAATACAACGAAAATTACTGTGGTGACATAAATACTGTAAGTTCTCTGCGCATCACATCGCGCAGTCTCTGACGGTTGCCATGGTTTGTTGGCTAAAGAAATACTCGTAGCTAAAACACGTTGTCGGGGCTATCAAATTCCTAATAATTGTGAGGGTTTCCCTCGATTTCTCTAGGATCCCATCATCAGATCCTGAATTGGTGGTAATGGGACCAATTCGGGAGCATACCCTTTCGATTACAAAAAGAATTTTGAAAATCGGTCCACAATTGACGGAGAAATCGCGAACAAACATACATGAAAAAAAAAACAACAGACGAATTGAGAACCTCCTCTTGTGTTTTGAAAGTCGGTTAAAAACTGCAGGCGTCGGCCCGAAGTATATTATGACTTGATCTGTTTCATTCATTTTATTCATTTACCATAAATCTTTCTACTTATTTCGATCTTTACTTGTAAAAAAGTTGATAAACCAAAAGAACATTTTACTACTAACTATTTTAGCCTTATGTTAGGCTAAAATAGTTTCGCGGCAGTAAGACCCGTTATGGAGGATTGGCTCGAGAGGCGTCACGGGACCCTCTCATACCGACTGACGCAGGTGATCACTGGGAAAGGATGTTTCGGGGATCACCTGTGTCTGATCCGCAGGGAGCCAACCCCTGAGTGCCACCACTGCGATGGCCAGACCGTGGACACGGCTCTCCACACGCTGGCAGAGTGCCCGGCGTGGGTTGAGCAGAGGCGGTGTGGCGGCCATCGGAGTGGGAGTTCTCTCGCTCGATAGCCTGATTGCGGCTATCGTGCGGAGCGAGAGTGCGTGGAACCCTGCCGTCTCCTTCTGCGAGCAAGTTATGCTCGCGAATGTTATTATGTTTAAGACGAAAATTATGTTTAGGACTCTCCCGGCCCGGGAACGGGCCAGGTACCGCAGGCGACTCAGGCGCCGGAGGTCGCAGAACGACCTCCGTCCTCCATAAGCGCAGGCCTGGGGGTGACAGGTGAGGCCATCTGTCACCCTAGCAGAAGCAGGCCGGGGTGGCGGCGAGCGCGTTGCGAAGCGCGCTCGCTTCCAGGGAGCACAGGGAACATGGGGTTCCCACACGGGGGAGGATCGTCTACTCGTCTGTAGATGACCCGAGGTATGTCGGGGCACCAGGGACTTCCTTTCTAGGGTATACCTGGTTCCCCGGCTATTAGTACCCGAGACGGCGTGCGGTTTTAGTCGGTTCGTGTCCGACATGCCACCGACAGGTGGTATCCGAGGGGATTTCCGCACGGAAAAAAAAAAATAGGCTAAAATAGTTATAGTGCCAAAAAATTATGACATCTCAATGCGATACATAATATACCTACTTGAAATTAAAAGTCAAAACCGAGTACAAAGGTACAAATTACGTGAATATTTTTAACTTGAGACATCTCATACAATCATATTATTAAGATTAAATTGTTAATTACGGAACTCTACATTGAGCGTGGGAAGCTAGCCACACACTAACCCGATTTTTTTACAAATTTGTATTATAATTAAAAAAACAATAAAACGAACAGTTATGGACATGTATTATAACACATACTACAGCCGAAAATATTAAATTAAAGTGGTATTTGTGTTAACGTTATGTTACGTGACCGGTTATCCAATCTATTACGTATTTCGACAAGATTATCTGATCAGAGTTAATTGTCTTTTATAATATTAACGTACTTAAATATTTCCAATCAGTTATCATCATTGTTGTTACTTTTAACTACCTCTATTACGTATGTTGAATTTTTTAATAATCTCATTTGATATCTAAAGATAACAGATACGATTTTTAAATTAGTTATTAATATCTACTAATTAGTTATTAATACCAGGTATTAATCTAGTGTGACATAAAAGCACTTTCATTAATTTCAAATACCAATTTTTGTTCCAGTTAGATAACTAAGGACTGTAATTTAAAGAGATCGAACAAATTCACAATAGCAATATAAAATATAAATTACAAAATATTCAATTTATAATGATACTGGTTTTTGTCTGTGAATTTGAATTTTCTTATTTTCCTCGGGACCCACAGAAATAAGAATTAATAAGAGCTTTGAAGTGCACTCAATAGAATTTTGTTCGAAATAACTCTTAATAAACGGTTCTTAATAAAATGTATATCTATTGTAATTTCATCTATAAAAGATAGACATGTGTAGTATTTTGTCCTTCATCATCAACAGACTTAAATACAAACGGAAGTTTTGACCTACTATACCACGCTGGCCAGACGGGTTGGTATAGGGTTTGTGTCAAGTTAGTCTGCCATTCAGCTGCGTCAGGGAAGCGCTCCGCTACCACGGAGTGCCGGAGTACCTGAGGCGGCTGGTGGCAGACTATCTTGAGGAGCGAACCGTCATGTACGAGGACCGAGATGGCGTCTTGAGACGCAGGGCCATGTCGTGCGGTGTTCCGCAGGGGTCTGTCCTAGGACCTCTCCTGTGGAACATCGGGTACGACTGGGCCCTACGAGGGCGTCTCCCCCCCGGGCTGGGTGTAATCTGCTACGCGGATGACACCTTGCTCACGGCCCGGGGGGCTAACTTCCAGGAGGCGGCGCGCCTGGCCGCCACGGGAGTTTCCCTGGTGGTCGGGCGCATTGAGGCGTTGGGTTTGCGGGTGGCCCTGGATAAGACGGAGGCCCTATTATTTCATGGGCCCCGTCGTGGTCCGCCCGCCGGCGCCTCAATCGAGGTCGGCTCGGTCCTCGTACCGGTCCGGGCCCAGATGAGGTACCTGGGTCTGGTCCTAGACGGTAGGTGGCTCTTCGACGAGCACTTCCGACAGCTTGGTCCGAAGCTGGTGGACACTGCCTCCGCCCTAGGGCGACTTTTGCCCAATTTGGGCGGGGCCAGTGTTCCCACGAGGCGGCTGTACGCGGGGGTTGTCCGGTCCATGGCGCTTTATGGTGCACCGGTGTGGGTGGCGGCTCTGACCGCCCCGAATAGGGCGCGCCTCTGGCGCCCCCAGAGGATATTGGCGGTCAGAGCCATACGCGGATACCGCACGGTGTCCACCGAGGCGGCTTGCGCCTTGGCCGGAACACCCCCGTGGGATTTGGAGGCGGAAGTGCTCGCCGAAGTTTATCGGCGAGTGGCTGACTTCCGGGCGGAGAGCGGATTTCGCCCTCCGCCCGAAGACGTGCGCGAGTGGCGTGAAGCCGCTCGCCGAGCCACCATGGTGAGATGGTCGTTCCGGCTGGAGACTCCACGCGCTGGCTTCGCCGCCGTGGAGGCTCTCCAGCCGGTCATCGCCGAGTGGGCAGGGCGGCAGCACGGGACCCTTTCCTTCCGGCTGACGCAGGTGCTTTCCGGGCACGGTTGCTTCGGAAAGTACCTGTACTCGGTCGCTAGGAGGGAATCGAGTCCCGCCTGCCACCACTGCGACTGCAGTGAGGATTCGGCCCAGCACACGCTGGCGGTTTGCCCCGCATGGGCGACGCAGCGCCGGGCCCTTACTGCAGTCATCGGAGCAGATCTCTCGCTACCGGCCGTAATTCGCTCCATGGCCGGTAGCGACAGTTGTTTTACCGCGGTCGCAACCTTCTGCGAGGAGGTAATCTCGCAGAAGGAGGCGGCGGAGAAGGCCCGGGAGGACGACCTCCACTCGGACCTGATCCGCCGCCGGCGAACCGGGCGGCGGAGGCGCGCTTACCTGCGCCTCATGCCGCCCTGAGTGTGGCCGCGGGTGGACGGGATGGGTTCTCCCCTCCACCCGCATTAGTTGGCCAGCCGCGAGGGGGCGGCGTCCGCGTGTGCCGGACGTCGCCTAAAGAGAGGAAAGATCAGAGACGGGGCCCGCAACAGGAGCGGGCCGGCGCTGGGAGGGGTCCAGAAGGCGATAACTACCTGGACCCCTCCTACACTGGAAGCGCAAAGAGGGCACACCGTGTGGTTTTAGTCGGTTCGAGTCCGACACACCGCCCCGCCGAACGAGAGCCCCGGCGGGGTGACGGTCCGAGGGGATTTCCACACGTAAAAAAAAAAAAAAAAAAAGGGTTTGTGTCAAGTTATCCTTCTCTTTGCAGAGCTGTTGTGGTGAATAGCTGTGGTAACACTCCGTATTCTTAACCCGTTTTTGTCCTTACTTGCTTTTTAATATCCAGCTCTAGTATAGCAAGTATTATCGAAGTTGTCAATCTATCGTCGAGAGTACCGGTCGCTTAGTAATTATAGGACCCCATACAAAAGGTTCTGAGTTTCATTTCAATATAGCTTCAGGTTACAACTAGGCATAGCTGATTCTAGTTCCATCATTTGTTTATCAAGGAAAGCTCTTTTAAAATTATTGTCCGAGTAGGTAGTCGTGATGATAGTAACATGGAAATATTATAAATATTTACTTTCGATTCTTTTATTTTCACCAAATAGGTTTTAATGTGTTTATATTTTTGCAATCTAAAAATACAAGGCTTAAAATAATTTGGTAATGTTTGACAAACCTTTTGTGTTCGTTGCTTTATTCATAATTACGACATTTGCCTCGAATATGTGATACAAGCAACATTTTCTTATTTTTGTCATGTTATATCAAAAAAACTGAAACCTAGAGGAACTCGAACGATTCTTAATACTCACATTATATTAGTAGAGTAGGTAATCACGGTTTTTTTATCTTAAATCACTTTTTTGTAAATGTTACTTGAAATTCAATGTTTAAAAATAAATAGTATATTTGTAACTCATCTCTTTCTTTCTGTCAAAAGTATTGAGGTTAACCAATTAATAACACCAATTCGCATATCAGAGCTTTCCCTTGCGTAATTAAAGAACACTCGGAGAATACCGATCCGCTTAACGTTATATGACGTGGATTACGTAATCACTTTCACCATTTTGAATATTATAATGCCTATACTCTGTTTAAAATATTTTTAAAGATTTTCATTTTAATATATGCAACAATGTGACAATACTACATGTCTGTTGGTCTAGTGGTTAGTGATAGTGACTGCAAAACCAGAGGTCGTGGGTTCGATTCTCACCCGGGACAAATAATTGTGTGATGAGCATGATCATTTGTTCTGTGTTTAGGTGTGATTTGTCAGTAATATATATGAATTGAGAAGTAAATAACTATGTTTATCAGTAGCCTGATAATCATAGTATAGGTTAGTTAGGCCTAGTTTGGGATCAAACGGCCTTGTGTGAGATGTGTGAAAATAATATTTTTTTAAGAAACTCCGAGAACCCTACAAACATGTAGTACAAGACTCTCAAACAAAATCCACTTATCTAATAATGTCATCATCATCATCAATAGCCTTTAATAGACCACTGCTCGACATAGACCTCTCCTTAGAAAGGAGGTTTTGGCCTACTATCCCACGCTGGCCAGACGGGTTAATACAGAGTTTGTTTTAAGTTTTCCTTCTAGGTATTTGCAGTGCTGTTGGCCTAAGTAGTTTACTCCCTTATCGGCTTTTACAACACCCATGTCCGTTGATCCGTCACCAGATAGTTTTTCTGAAAAACGTGTCTTTTCAGGCAAAAATTAAAATCAACTTATGACAATTTTTGATGGCTAAAGCTGATTTGAAGGGTAAGAAGACATAAAACCGTATCAATTTAAACTTACTGTTGTCTGCAATCAATGAGGACTCCTAAAAGGAATACGGCAGCAATAGCTACAATCATGATGACTATCAAGCCCACTATTGTGGTTATCGTAAGCGTTGGTGCCTCCTCCGTGATCATAGAGACTGTTAGATTGGGATCTGATGTCGATTCTGAAACAAAACAAAATGATAACTTTCCATTATATTGTAATGATTAAAGTACAAACGAAACTGATGATTTTTGTAATATATATCAGTTAAAATCAAAAAGATTAAGGGAAACAGGTAATCACACTTAGTTGAGTTCAAACAATTGATACAGCCCATTAATTCCTTTAACTTAATGAGTACAAGCAAAAACTAAAATGCGAATTTTGCAAAAGGGTTATCTTTTGGACAGCTCAAAAAAGAATCTAAAAATAAATGGCAAATGTTGGTATATTATATTTTAAATTTTATTCATTAGCTTCACTTTGAGTTTAAATGTTACGTCATTTCGCAATCCAAATAGCACTCACATACTTCCGGCCTTTCGAATTATTTGGCATTCGGTGCAATTCTTATGAAGTAATAATGATGAAATGAATAAAAAATGTTTTGTACCACTAAAGTGACTAACAAGAATACGTTCCGCTTGATAATGAGTAATGTAAGCGAGTCCGCGTCCTCTGAGTCACATCGGCCCATTTAAACATTTTTGACAAATTAGTTTCTTAATTGTGCAATCTAAACTTCTTATGCAGAAGGTTCATTATAAATAATTTTGTAAAAAAAAAGTAATATACGAAGTCAGGTTTGTTCAGGCTTCTTAATAAGCTGTTTTTTTAATAAGTCTAAAATGTAACAATGAACGAATATTTTTTAATTAGTTCATGAAATTGTTACAAAAATATGAAAATTAGAATCAACAACGTTCTTTCTTTTAATGATATTGATTGCCTAAAATACATGAAAAATCGTGAGGTGTTTTAATTAGCGTCTAGTGACGTAAATCCTGTTATGTCAAAGTTATAATTGTGAAAATAAATGACATTTTGGTAGGAATATTAATTGCATTTTATAAAAAAGGTAGGCTCATGAAAGCAGCCTCTGCATGAATATGCGAAAAGTTAATGGCAATGTGTCTGCGTCTTTTGGAATTTTTCTTGTTTGTCATTTTTCAAGTACAGAAATGGAAAAGATTAAAAATAAAAATGTCTATTAATAAAAAATAATAATTACTACTCATAAACTTCAAACTTTGTATTTTATGCAGCGTTTTCGAGTTACTAGTCATTTTACCTCAAGAAGAGAATCTTATATGGATTGTGACACTGAGCCTTCCAAAATTATAACTAGATCAGCATACTATATGGCCTATGATTATTAATTGGTACAGTCAACCTCAAAAAAACGTTATGCAAGAAAACGTCGCATTCCAAAATGCACAACTATTATTTATTTATTTAATTATTGAATCTTGTCAATTATGTCAAAATAGACTCGTGAATCTAGTCTTATAGTCCTACCAACTTATCTGTGAAATGGCGAAAATTGGAACTACGGCCGTCATGTTGAAATGTCATTCGATTGTCAGTGTCTACTACATTCGGGTTCTCTGGTTGTTTTGTCGTGATATTGCTGAATTTATAAAGTTAAATATGCCGAAAGCTATTAAAAGTGATGCTCGAAACATTATTCTAAAGGTTAAAACCTTTTTTGAAGAAGAAGCTCGGGCGGGGTCTCCGATTATTCCATTTAATCAAATATACAAACGAATTTCGGCAGCGACAGGTTAGTGTTGTCAACTTTCTTGTTATAAATTACCCGGTACTTAACTAATTATTTAAGTCCACGAAATATTCGTTTCTATTCTTGCTGCGGGTTAGCGTAACGGTAACGTACATCTATTAGGTAACCCGCTAAGTGAGTGAGCCAACTAACCTGCCAGATTTCAAATTTCTACTAACATTTATTTTGTTATCTTATATTTCAGGTGTGAGTCAAGGACTAATTTCAAAAATAGTTAAGGAAGAGCATGCAGCAGAAGAAACTGGTACAAAAATTTGGACACCAGGCAAGGAGAGAAAACGTAAAAGTGGATTTGTGCAAGTTGATGATTTTAATATGGGAGTTATACGGAGGAAAGTACATGAATTTTATTCTGCCAAAAAAGAGGTCCCTACTGTTAAAAAGCTTCTAGAGGTCTTAAAGACAGATAAATTACACAGGACAGCGAGAGAGTCTGCGAAAGCTGCTTCACAAGTTGGGATTTCGTTTTAAAAAATCTCAATCCAATGGAAAGGTTCTTAAGGAGCGTAATGAAATATCAGCTTGGAGAGCTGGAGCTGGAGTACTTGCATGCAGTGGATAAAAATAATAAATCTCGCCAGCCCCGGCCCATAATTTATTTAGATGAGACCTATATTCACTCTTCGCATACATCGGGTAAATGTTGGCAAGGAGACGGTGAAGACGGAGTATTGGAGCCTGTATCGAAAGGGCAAGGGTATCATGCGGGAGGAGATACTGGATTTGTTACAAATGCACTACTTGTGTTTAAATCAAACACAAAAAGTGGTGATTATCATGACGAGATGAATAGTACCAACTTTAAAAAGTGGGTTATTGAAAAACTTGTGCCTAATTTACGAGAGCCATCCATAATAGTGATGGATAATGCTCCTTATCAAAGTATTTGTGTGAATAAAGTCCCAAATACGAATTCTTTAAAAAAAGATATGCAATTATGGTTGACCCAAAATAAAATTGACTACGGAGAGAATTTGACTAAACCTCAGCTTTTAGAAATAATTAAGAGCAACAAGCCTGAACCTGTATATGAGATTGAAAAAATTTTAGAAGACAATAGACATAAATGCTTATATTTCCCACCTTATCACTGTGATCTCAATCCCATTGAACTCATATGGAGCACAATGAAAAGAAAAGTTGCTGATGTAAATATTGAGCACAAAAATGCTGAAATTCCCTGCCTAGTTAGAGAAGCTTTTGACGCTATTACAGTTCATGAGTGGGCACAGCATAGTAAACATGTTCGCAGGTTAGAAGGAGAATACTTAAAACATGATTTGTATTTAGATAAACCTTTTATTATAGAAGTTGTAAGTGACACTGAAACCGAAAGCGATAGTGATAATGATGATAGTGGTACGGAAATAAGCGGAGTATGGCCTCTCAACCAGGATGAAGTTGTGTATGCAGGTTCATTTAATTACTGTAAACCTGGTTTTCAATAAATTATTATAAAGCAATTTGTTTTTTTTAATTACACTACACTACCACTAGGTACTACTGCTAATTATAATTAGTCAAATCTGGTGTTAGGGGTTAGTTACGGTCATAACTAAATGCTAGACATACATGCATACATAACATGCTAGGGTAGGTACCTACTTAACTTCGCATTAAATGAAAGTTGTATCTCTCCCGTGTAACATTTTATCTGCTGAATTTCCACTTCATTGGATTACTTTTTAGATAAAGCCATTGTTTATTGCTGAGAGACTAAACTGTTAGTGTACCTACGCAACTGTAAATTATCAAATTCTTTTTATTTATTTTATTATTTTTATAGAGGTATCATTATTTTTAATTTGTTTTGTTTTTAATTCTTATTAAACGATTATGTCTAATGTGAAAATTCTTTCTTGAAAACTTACTCAATTTTGGACACCTTATATTAATTAGCAACACTGAATCGACGGTGCTGTCCTCTTTCAGTTCACAGATAAGTTGGTAGGACTGTAAAACTAATTTTAAGAAGAGATTTTATTATTGAACGTCACTTAAAACAAGATGCACCGATTCATTTTCAAGTGAGTGATAACTTATTTTGGAACCATGTTTTTGTCGAAATTTTTACTCAGGTATAGATTTTGACAGATGTTATCTTTGTGTACGTGGTGATTTCTAGGGCATTTTAAGGGAAATTAATGTGTTTTACGATACTTGTCAAATCAAATCAAATTAAATCAAATCAAAATTTATTTGCGAATATAGGTATATAATAAAGGTGTTAATTACATTGTATTATTCCAGACCATAATCGGCCCATAGGCATGCAAAATGTTTTTTCCTTACTCCTTACTTGACAAAAGTACTAATATTTAAAGTAAAATGTAAAACAATAAGGAGTAGAAATATTATTTAAATTAACAAAATAACATCTATATATATAAAAGAAAGTCGTGTTAGTTACACTATTTATAACTTAAGAACGGCTTTACCGATATGGCTGAAAATTGGTGAGGAGGTAGCTTAGAGCCAGGAGACGGACATAGGATACTATTTGTTTCGAAAAAAAAAAAACAACGTTTGCACGAACTTTGCTTTACTCGAAGATGCCACGTTATTATACTTGGAATGCTTCATCGAAGAATTTTTAAAGACGGAAGCAAGGTGATGCGGTTCCCTGGTATCCGGATGTGCGTTTTACTGATGCTCTTGGTCGTATGTATACAGTTCATCCAAAGAATGATGAATGTTTTTATTTGCGGTTGTTGCTAGTAAATGTGCGTGGGCCAACGTCATTTGAGACACTACGGACTGTTAATGGTGTAATATTTCCAACATATCGTGCTGCATGTTGAGAACTGAACTTATTAGAAAACGATACCCATTGGGATACGACAATCGCTGAAGCCATTATCTCTGCATCTCCAAGTCAAATACGCACATTATTCGCTATCAGAATTTCGACATGCTTTCCATCAAACCCATGTAACCTGTGGCACAAATATAAGGATAATATGTCCGAAAATATTTTACATCAAATTCGTATCACTTCCAGAAATCACGATGTTGAGATGAATGAGGAGATACATAATCGTGCTTTACTCTTGATCGAAGATATGTGTTACCTCATGTGCGGTAGTTTATTAATCAGGTTAGGAATGCCAGCGCCCAATCTTGAAATGAATGACGCATTTAATCGAGAATTGGAACAGGGACGTGAATATGATCACCAGGAATTAGATTTAGTAGTTCAAACGAATGTACCCCTGTTGAATACCCAACAAAAGGAAGTTTATGATACTTCAATGAAGGCAATCGATGATGGAAATGGTGGTTTATATTTCCTAGATGCCCCTGGTGGAACAGGTAAGACATTCCTCATGTCAGTAGTTTTAGCCACTGTTCGTGCGAGATCCAACATAGCGGTTGCAGTTGCTTCTTCTGGAATAGCAGCCACAGTGTTAGAAGGCTGCCGTACGGCTCATTCAGCATTAAAATTACCGTTAAATCTTCAAACTATTGAAGAACCAACGTGTAATATTACGAAAAATTCAGCAATGGCCAAAGTTTTATCGGCATCGAAAATCATCATCTGGGACGAATGCACAATGGCGCATAAACGTGCATTAGAAGCACTTAACCGAACATTGAAAGATTTACGGAATGACTCGAGATGTTTTGGAGGAGCAATGATTTTACTGTCTGGCGATTTCCGCCAAACACTGCCAGTAATTCCAAGATCTACGGCTGCCGACGAAATAAACGCTTGCCTCAAATTGTCGAATCTATGGCGCTATGTGAAGAAACTGCAGCTGACAACAAACATGAGAGTTGCATTGCTTAATGATACATCTGCTGAAGATTTTTCTGAGCAATTGCTGACTATCGGTAATGGTCAAGTACCTATCGATGAATCGAGCGGATTGATATCATTTCCAAATAATTTCTGTAATTTAGTCTCATCAAAAGACGAACTTATCAACAATGTATTTCCAGACATTATTTCTAACTACAAAAATAATGAATGGTTGAGTGAGCGAGCTATTTTAGCGGCTAAGAATAAAGATGTAGACGACCTGAACTATATAATTCAAAATAAGATCATTTGAACAATGCATTCATTCAAAACTATTGACTGCGTCACAAATGAAGATGAAGCCACCAACTATCCAATTGAATTTTTAAACTCCTTGGATGTGCCTGGCTTACCACCGCACAATTTACGCCTAAAGGTTGGCTCCATAGTAATCATGCTTCGAAACATAAACCAACCAAAACTGTGCAACGGTACGCGTTTGGTGGTTAGAAAATTTATGAACAATGTAATTTATGCGACGATACTGAAAGGAAAATTCAAAGGTGAGGAAGTTCTCATTCCGAGGATCCCGATGATCCCAACCGATTTGCCGTTTGAATTTAAAAGACTTCAATTTCCGATCCGTCTTGCATTTGTCATGACCATCTACAAATCACAAGACCAATCCTTAAAAGTTTGTGGTTTGAATCTAGAACATCCATGTTTTTCCCATGGTCAATTATATATGGCATGTTCACGGGTCGGAAGACCATCTGCGTTGTTTGTTTTTGCGCCTGATAAGAAAACAAAAAATGTCGTGTATCACAAGGTACTTAAGTGAAGAGCAACCAATGTACTGAAATGCAGAAACAATAATAAATGATTAATGTACTTCATTTTTTTTCTAAGAAGAAAATTAACTTACTAAATTCGAAAATCGGCTTATTTTTTGCCTTTAAGGCGGAACAGAGTTCGCCGGGTCAGCTAGTTATTGTATTAAAACTTATCATCTAAATACTCCTTAACATGTAACATTTATTATATATATAACATTTATTTATAACATAATAACATTTATTGATTAGACACTCTTTTAATTTTCTTTTGAATACAGGAATGCTTTGAATTGTAAAAATATAAGTCAGAAGTTTATTGGACAATTTAGGTGCCATACAAAATACACTTTTATTTAAAAGGGTTGTTCTACTCGTTTGTACCTAAATTTTGTGACTGTGTCTATTACTATGAAGCGGTTTATATGAGTTTAAATTACTTTTTATGAAAACAATAACTTCAAAAATATACAAACATGGTGATGTTATATTGCTAGCTTGTTTTAATACTTTAGTTGTAATTTCATCATAGCCTGTACTGTTAGTATTATTTAAAGATAGAATAATACGTTTAATGTCATGTGATGTTGTAGGTAGAAAAATAGAATAATAATTATTATTACTTAATGTATTATTGTTATTTGAATTTTTAATGTCAAAGGTTTAACTTGATTTAGAAGTTGTTGAATCCTTTAGCTATAGATCTAATTTATGTAGAAGACTATTAATATTTTGATATAAGATATTTACAGAAATAGGTACAGAATTAGACACGAAAAAGATCATTCACACAGTCATTTTGGTCATTTTCAGTGTAACCACAAAATTGGAAGTTACGAATATCAATAGCTAAAAACTCCACGCCTTTCTACAAGTACATTGTTTACTATAATTATTAAGTTTACCGGTCTTATAGGAAAACAAGTCAAAAGTAAGGTCACGATATGTGTCGAAAATGTGGATGAAGGAAGAACTAGCTGCTAAACAACCGAGATTGGTCAATCGCTCTAGGCCACTGCTGCTTCACGACAACGCAAGAACACACACTGCACAACAAACAACCACTAAGTTAGATGAGCTATAATTGGAATGACTGCGACATCCACTGTACTCCCCGGACCTTGCTCCAACAGATTACCATTTTTCCGGAATTTGGACAACTTCTTATAAGGAAAAAAATTCAACTCCGATGCGGCAGTCCAAACCCCCCCTTAAAGAGTTTATTGATCCTCGCCCCATGGTTCTTTTAGTAAGGAGATCAATGAACTACCTATGAGAAGGCGAAAGTGCATAGATAACAACGGTGCATACTTTGATTAATTAAATATATTTTACAAAAAAAATTGACTTTATATTCCACCCGTACAAAACGCCAATTTCATATATATGTAAGGACCTAATATTTATAAATCTAATAATCAGGGCTTGAGAGCAAAAAAAAATTGTAGTTTACATTTGTATGCCTAGTAATAGCAGTTTATAAGAATGTGTCATTCTTAAAAACGTACCTGATGCTGGCCAGCCCATGACACCTCCATCTCTATTGGTGTCCATTGTCTTTGGGATTGTTCTCTTTTTTCTAGTATTGTTCTTGTGTATGTGCTAATTAACTGTAACAAAGAAATAACATAAATTTAAAATACAAAGGAAACGAAACTTTTTTTTCAACTACATGTATTTTGGCCTTTTTAATTTCCTGTTCATTCCAAAATAAAAAAGTTATTTTAAAATAACGGTACATTTTTATTGACGGTTGATTCAGTTGAAACACTGTTAAGTATGTTGTGGATAACCAGTTTACTGTAGGAAGTGGATACGGCGGCATCTAATTTAAATGAATATCGGTATATTTAAGTAGGAAGATTTGTAACAATGTCAAGAATATGAGACAAATTAAATTAGACACTACGGATGACTGCATCCTGGAAAAAAACTCACTCGCTGATGCGCTTGATGGCTCAAAACAAAAAGTAGAAGTCTCTTCAGTGCTTATTGAAATGTTAACAGCAATAATTAACTTTTAAAAGACATATAAATAGATATCTTCAATGCGTCCACATCTCGAAGAATTGTTCTACCTTAATCCCTTAATTTTAAACCCTGGCCGAGGGAGAGTCACATTTCGGCATATTTAGGCCGGCTCAAAGGGATTGACCTCGTCCTCATACCAAACCGGTGTTCAGTAATTCTTTCATTAATTTTTCTCTAAATCTAGAGACACGCTAGTTGTTTAACAGCAGAATTAAACAAAACTATATTAATTTAAATTGTTGTCAATTAATTTGATGTTCAAAACAAAACATAATCGGGAAAATGCATGTGACTCTAAAACGGACAAAATATTTTTATTTGTAAACTTTATTGCTAAACAAAGATACCCATACAACTATTTTTGATAATATCATATTCTAATTTAATAGTGAAATTTAATCATCTAATAGTGGCCTTTTTAACATTCCCTCGCAGATTTCTAAAACGCTAAACTGACGTAAAATTTCACTCGACGTCTTCTGTCAACAAGTTGTTTGTTTCGTTTCTGGTGAATTATTGGTTTGTAGTATTATTGATCGAAGTTTGTAGTGTTTTGCGGTTATTTCATATTACGTTATTAGTCTTCTTTCTTAAAGTATTAAATGTATTAAATCCTTGTGAAGTAAGACTAAACACAATAACTGAAACCGGTTTAGTCAACAATCAGATGATCTTCCTAAAATAGATGTGTGAATTCATGATCATCATGATCATGAATTGTTTGTTTTCAATCTGAAACCCAGAAATAAAATTAAACGAAGAAGGTAAATAAAAATAGTTTAGAACTTCCCTCTTACTCTAATAAGTAGGTATATGTTTTCATTCATAGGCAAGCATAAGCAATACTCTTAGGGATAAATACCTATGTATTAGATTTTAAGAATATAATTACTTTAAGCACTTGCCAAACATGTTTTGTGGCCTGTTATAATAAATACATATACAAGGTGTACGGGACATCGTACCGCATACTGAAATAGTGTATGCAGACCCTGATCCTGAGTCGAAAATCATTGGAATTTTGTGCCACTTACTTACGCTTACTAAATAGGGCTAAATAGGGAGATGGTTTCAGGTATATGCATAAAAAATGACGAACACTTGAGGTATTTATTTGTTTAATAAAAAAAGAGGGTATAAGTATTTATTTGTTTTTGTATAAGTTACTTAAAATATTTATGTGACATTCTTGTTTTTTTTTTATAAATATTGTTATTCTGCATACTTCGATATCAGGCACAGCAATATATTCTAATAACGTTGTATCGCCATATCATCCATCAAATCTTCGTATCAGGTAATCTATAATCAAATAACTATTTACCAGTACTCATAAAACTATTTGCAGTAATAAATTATAAAATATATTGTTCATTATTTGCATGATTATAACACAACATCGCCGTCGACACGAATTTTAGTTGTTTAAAACAAATTTTCTATAGAACTTGTTTGTCACTTCAAATAATTAATTTACAAGAATTTTGGTAAATACTTGAAATATAAAGTTTAGAATTTTGTAAAAGAAAACTTAGTTGAGTGGACATTCTACTAGCGTACCAGAGCAAGTATACAGATTAGTATACAGAAGTATACAGATCGTTACACATTGTCTTATAAACTTCAACCTTTGAATAATGGTGGAGTTACTAAATATGCCTTGTCTAATGTATACATCGCAGTTGCACTATAATATTTGAGTGTGAATGACTTTAGATCTACAAGAAAAAGTAGTGCCAAAAGTGCATGAAAGATAATATTCACGTTATTCATTTATTCTTACTTCGAACTTCTTCATCCATATCGTAATGGTATTTTCAGTATCTGAGTGGAATTGATTGTGATCAATTTGATAAAGTTCCTGTTTTAACCTCTGTTGTTACTCATCGTAGATTTATTATTGGATAAGCAATCTATAAAAGGTAGGTAATGTAAGTTAGAACAAATATTGTTAGTTGTTATACTGAAAATGAATTATAGTAAACAACAATTATACCTATTTATTGACTTCAAGATAGTAGCGACACTACAACCAGACATCCGTCCACTCAGTTTTTTTTATTCATGTCAGGTAGTGTTTGTCATATTCAGTTAGACAATGCGGAAAAGAACGATAAAGATGCATGCATACCTACGCAGAGCCTATAATGTATCATAATACGAAAAGTTGTCTAAAACTCAAAAACAAACTAGTATAATCACGATTACTGAAACGACTTACAGAAAGAAACAATCAATCATAGAGAGCACAGACAACTGTAAAGAAGATTTTTCAAATTAAAAGAAATTGTTTGATATTGAACCGTACCAAGTTGCTATTTTTGTAAAGAGAAACATGCAGTTATTTTAAAATGTCCATAGTACAAACATAAAATAAAAACCATGTTACAAAAAACATACTACAGTGTAAAGGAGTACCTAAAAGATAAGTGTGTTGAATTTCAATGTGATCATTACTTTGGGATACTAATACTGATTAATACTAATATGATTTTTAGGGTTCCGTACCTCAAAATGAAAAAACGGCAACCTTATAGGATCACTTCGTTTTCCGTCTGTCTTTCTATCAAGATATATTTCTTTAGATACATTTCTTATTCCTTTATTTAAAAAAAAACACCTTTTTAATTGACTTGTTATTGTCATTTTTATTTTTTGGCTATTTAATTATCTTTTTATATTAATTTGATTGAAATTGACTTTTAATTTGTTTTTTGATGTATCTAATTAAATAGCTAATGTATTTAATTAATCTTCTTTACATAGTACAAAATAAAGTCGCTTTTTTGTTGTACGCTTAAATCTTTTAAAATAAGCAACGGATTTTAATGCGGTTTTCACCAACAGAGAGAGTGGTTCAAGAGAAAGGTTTATATGTATAATACATGCATATTATAGTAGATAAAAGCCAAGAATTTCAAAGATTTGTCCTAAAAACATGAACTGACTGGATGGCAAACGATGGCCAATCCTTGCGAGATGATGTACTACGAAATTGTATATCTTAAAAAGATCTACAAAAAAGTCCCCGATGGTATGTGTTTATCTCCTAAGGATAACCCACAGTAACCATTTTTATCTTTTAATTAGGCCGGCAGGATCGGACGGAGCCGGCCTATAAATATTGCATATAAAGATGTCCTGTATTACTTACCTATAGTCCTATCTTAAAAATAGTATAATTACTCCACACTGACACCACATTAGTAGTATTAGTATTTTTCTACATTGTACCCATGCGAATATATCATATAATATGTGCCTACTTAGAGGTAGAATGTGGCTATTCCATTATTACATAGTAACACCTTATTGATTTAAAGATTGTTTTGATCAGTGAATGTTATTTTCAAGTTTCGAGCTTATTTTCAACTTTACTGTCCAAAGAGTGAAAGGTTGTTGTCTATTGCCTAAATGTGGTAAAGAGATCCGGATGCTTTTGATATCGCAATTAGCAATTATGTATATTCAAACTGTCTAAAATATGTCCGCATTTATGCGGTGAATATTCAATGAAAAAGGGGACTTTGATTTATTTAAAGCTGTTTATATTCTTACATGATCATGCGATATTAGAGAAATAACAACGGGAGAGCACAGATACTTCATTTACCCTATAAGGGGAGACTTATTAAAAGATTAATAACAGATTCGAATTTAGTGAAAAAAAATTACGAATCATGGCTGAATGCAATCCACGCGTGCCAAAAGTGTGGACTGGTGTCAGCACTATCAGTCACCAACGTGAGCGAAGGCAAAGGCACAACGCCTGATAATAGCCCACGCAGGGACTGCACGACTCCGTACCCAAGTAGAATGCATTGCCATACCATGCCACAATCCTTACATCACCTTAATTTGGCTGTAAAGCAAAGACATTGAAGCCAATGCGAAAAAATGGTGACATTGCAAAACAACAAGGCCAGATGTCCTTAGGTTGTCTGTAATTACAATACCACCAAACGAATTAATAATAAGCCTTTGACATATCACTATTACAGCTTTTTTTGTTAATAAATGTACTTTTATTAAATAGTGGAACACACTTGAAAAAATATTCAAAAAGACAGACAAGAAGACGAGAAAGAGAAATAAAGACAGAAAAAGGGAGCTATTGTTGCTTCGACAAGGTTTGCGAATCAGACTTTAAAATAAATCTAAAAAAATACTAGTGTTAGTAAATCTAGTGATGATATGATTTAGGTTGTGTACCATTGTATTGTTAATAAATAACTTTCAATTCTTATTCCTTGTTTCAATTTCTAAAACAGTTACTGAATACGAATGAAAGTAATCGCGAAATGTCGTTTTGGAGCACTTTCTTTTGGCTTTAAAATTCTAAAAATACATTATAATCTGTCCATACAGCATATCCCTAAAACTATCCAATCCAAGTTCAATTACGATCGACGATCGTTACGATCGACAATAGAATAGGTTCAATAACGGTTTTACTGTATTTTGTCCACCTTATGTGCTCTAAAAATGACATTTTCAATGTGAAGTATAACCATGCGCTATAT